ACCAGAGCAGGTTTCTCCAAGCCCTGTTCCACCTGGCCTTGAGCACTCACAGGGATGGGGCAGCCACAGCTTGGCTGGGCAGCCTGTCCCAGGGTCTCAGCACCCTCCCAGGAAGAACTTCTTCCTCAGATCTGTCCCGAAGCTGTTCTGTGTCAGCAGGACGCTCCCTGGGGTTGCTCCTGGGCATAGCTCACCTGCAGCATGCTGGGCAGCACCCACTGGTAGCCGCTGAGGGAGAAGAGGTGATTGAAGTGCACGGCCGTGTTGATGACGGTGGCAGCGTACTGCCGCAGCAGGGCACTGTCCTCGGGGTGCAGGATCAGAGCGCCGTTGAACACGTTCAGGAACAGCATGATCTCGTCCCCCCACGGGAACTCGCTGGGCATGCCAAGGAACATCTCTTCCAGCAGCTTAATCCACAAGCTTTTCTGAAGGGTATCCAGGCCAAAGAGCTCTTTCCCAGCTGCAGGGGAGAAGAGCAATCAACAGCAACAGCAGTCAACAGCCAGCCTCACCTCGCTGCAAAGAACCACCCCACAACAATGACCATCCTTCTGCCTTTTTGAAATCATTCCACCCTTCCTGTGTTTTGTTTAAGTGCCCACAGGCAAACCTCAACTGAAAGCATCAATATAAAGATGAAGAATGATAAATATCACACAGCTCATTGATCTGCTGGTTGGACACTCTTCCCTTAAAAAGTGCAAGATCTGAGCTTGTACATGCATCATCTGCCTCACACAGAGGCTGTGCAGAATTATGCTCAGTTTTTATGTTCCAGGTGTCCCACACATTACAGGAAACAGATGCAGAGTTACAATAATGCTTCCGAAATCAAGTGCCTTTAGGGCTGGTACAGAACTTTCCAATGCTTACCACTGTGTAACAATGGCCTATTTAACCTTTTTAACATCAGGCTGGAAACCCTACTTTACCTTCAGAGAAAAGTTTCTATGTGGACTGTTTCTTTATCCCCACTGCAGAATTTACCCAGTCTTGGATTTCGACTGCTTCCACAAAGCAGATGGCAAAGGACTTTGAGCAATCCTTTCTGGGTAGCCTCATGCATAATTTTAATACTCAATTAAAATTCATTCTCATTTGGGTCCAAAGCAAGTAGCCTTGTCTGGAGAATTCTAACAGCGAAGCCCTTTCTGCTGGTGTGCTTACAAACCAACAGTTCTGTATCAGTTTCCCCAGGAAGGGATTCATCAGCTTCCAGAAAAGCTGCAAGCCTGTGTGTTTCTAGGGCAAATAAAGCACTCACTGAAACCTTCTGGGTCTTGAAGAGCCCTGCAGGAAAGCTGCCAGAGGATTGTACCTTGGGGATCGCTGAAGAGTGAGAACTCAGCATCAATGGCACTTCGGGGAAACGAAGGCAGGCGGAGCAGGTCCTCCTGCAGCATGGACACGTGAGATTGCTTGTGGGCTGGAGGGATCTTCTGTGTCAGTGAGATCAGGAACAGCACCCGCCCCACCTCCTCCAGCTTGCGGGTGAACACCTGGCAGAGAAAAGGAGACAAAGATCTGTATCAGCCTAATCCAAAAGCTCTTTAAAGTGTATATGCACTTTCCCAGGTTCATTTCTACAGCTTTCTCTGATTGGAGGGATGCTGCACTCATGGCTCAGAGGATCATGATGAAATTCACAGGGCTAGTGCTGCACTCTCTCGCTAGAATTTATGTGACCACTGTTTTCCTGCCCAGGTCTACAAAGATGGATTGAGTTTGTAAAAATGGTTCTAACAACATTTCCTGTTTCAGTCTTCTGGAATACCCTAAGTGGCTGAGGAACAATTTTCAACTTTGTTATGGGTTTTTCTGTAGATTAATGTAAGCCCCAAGGTGGTCAGAGAAACCAACTCCAAAGTGAAAGCCATATGTTTGTATTTTCTCTTTTCAATGTCTTAGACAATAGTCAACAAGAAGCTGGAATTGCTATCTGCCTTCTGGGATAAGTCTGGCTGACATCTGGCCATAGAAAGTACATGTATAATTGCAAAAGCAAAGCAGTCAATAAAACAGATTCTGTGCTACTGAAAAGGAGCAAAATCTTGCTTGACTTCAGAGATCACTTATGCTTTATACCAACTGGGATACCGAATTCCATTCTACCAGCCTCCTTTGAACTTGTGGCTGATAGGACTGGCCAGGCTAGATCCTCTATTCCTATTCTGATGCTAAAAGTAACCATTAAGGCAGAGTGATATGTAGTTCCAAAAGCAGCTGTCTTTGGAAGCAGTTTCGAGGCACCTCATAGCTACTGGGACAAAGCCAAAACCAAAACTTGAAGCATGTGGCAAAGATAAGGTTCATAGGCCCTGCCTTGCTATGACCTGTGCTCTGAAGTGCACTCAGCTCAGAATTCAAGAATCAATCAACAAAAAAGCAAGTGCTTTTCCATGGATTGATGCTCGGTGGGTGCTTGGTTACTCGTGTTGCTTTCTTTGCTGAAGCGGGATGTTTTCCAGCAACATGACAACAGAGAGGCTAGCAAATGTAGTTTTACCTCAGAAATAGTTTGGGTTCTAGGTGCTCTAAATATAAACATGTGGAAAGCAAAATAATGCCCTGAGAAAAAAAGTGAAGCTCATTTAAATATTTTTGGATCATGTAGGAGTGTATTAATTAAACTCTTTTACAATTCCAATTTGTGGGACATCTCCTAGAACCAGAGTAATTTCTGTTTGAGAAGCAACCAGGTTGACCCCAAGTAATTTTAGATTTTTATTGACTTTCTACTGACAGGTGCATCACATGAAATATTGTCCTATTCTGTGCCATACACATACAAGATGGCATTGACTTTATTTTCCATTATTTTAGCTGCCAGCAGCACTTAAGCAGCTGTACAGCTGCCTTTTATAACCACTCCTGATGATATTTCCCTACTCTCAGTAAGAACACAACTACAGTAGCTGGTTTTTGGCTGCAAAAACACAACTGTTAATACCAAATACATAGTGTTTAAGCACATTCGCTGTCACAACTGCAGCTGCCAGATAAATTTGGCCAAACTCAACCAGTTTAGAAGTAAAACAAGTCCTCAGATTAGGCGAGGATAGGTTAGATTTAAGTCTAAACAGGGGACCCCCAGCCAATTCCATTTGATGTTAAGTGGCAGACAGATCACTGGTCAGAGAGCTGGGTGATCCAAGATCCAAGACTCCAACCAATTGCCCATCTAAGCCCAGGAAATTCAAACCCCTCATAAAAAGAAGTTCTGAACTATAAAACAGGCTGTTTGTCACTGATGCTAGGTGAGTCATTTTACATCATGTAATAAATTCACACACATCCTTTTAATAATCCACTTAAAGGAAACTGGCTGGGCAGAACTGGGGAGGGGGGAAATTCACATCCCACTGCAATCTTCCCACAATAATGTACAGTGTATATGGCCCCAAGACAGATTTCACCCTGATTGTTACTTCTCTAGCAAAGCTCTTGATCTGCATGCAGCATGAAGCCTTCAAAAGGGAACAAAAAGATTTATTTTCAGGGTGTTTCTGGGAAGAGGTATTTGGTGGCAGTATGATACCTGCTTCTGAATGAGCTCTTGACCCTTTTCTGGGTGCATCTGCACCAGGTTGAGCTGGGGAGAAACTGACCTCCGGAAAGGATAAATATCACGGACGTAGGTCTGCCAGGAAAGGAAAAAAAGTGTATTTTAAACAAATCTAATCACTATGGTATCACTCAACAGAATGGAAAAAAGGGTCCTTTAGCCCTTTCTGAAGGGCAGAGGCTTTCAGGCATGGTCAGGCATCATGAAATGGCACAAACAGAAGAGAAATTAGATATTTTCTAAGAAAACTAGACATTCTTGTCTTCTGACTCTTCCCTCTTCTCTCAAATTCCAATCTTTCACCACACACAACTAAAGATGTGATTCCCACAGGACAGAACTCTGTTTATAGGGTGCTTGTTCTCCTTTAGATAACCCTGAGGTTTAAAAAGGAGCTAGATGAAAAGTCACAAAAAGAAAATCACATGGACTTGATCTTTGCCTTACCTTGTTGTAATGAATGAGATTCCAACGCTTATCCATTAAGAAATAATGAGAAGACTGAGTTTCAGGTATGTTAAAAAACTCCAAACATTCCTGAAAAGAAAGAAATCTAAATATCCTTTTACTTTTCAGTTGTTTTGTACAAGTATCACAGCATCCAAAAGAAGAATATCCATCTAATAATCCATAAAGGCACAAACATGCATGCCTTAATCAGACTGGCACACTGTTCTGGCTTTATTTATTTCACATTTTAATCATCAAGTAGCTGAGTATGTTTGTGATAATCAAGGCATGCTGACATCACAATCCTGTGACTGGTGTTACTTACCTTGGTGTCTTCATATCACACATATTTGCCTGACTGTATGAGCAATATGGGCCTGGGTATTTATCAAGACTTAGTGATAGGTGATATGCAGAGACACTGAAGTTCTAACACTTCAAAACACTGAGATGTGATTCCCAGTAAAATTTAACATAGCCAGGCAAACTGAAGGCTTTTAAAATTCCTATGTGCCTCAATTAAAACCATCCATGAAATTTTTGGCAGAAAGTAACTGCACAGCTCCCGAATACCAAAATATTGTTGTGGCTACTGAACCATCATTTTCACTCTGATCTTGATCAGTCTCTCATCTCTAGTGTTGATAAAACCAAACATTTAAATGATTTGTGTATTTATCAAAATTATATAGCAAATACCCAACAAGCTGCAGTGTCTCCAGATGAAATTGCATTTGTGAGGTTTGGGCTTTCTGTGAGTTCAGAACATTTCTATTATCCTTAAACGTGGGATCCTGTTTATTGCAACCAAGCTGCCCTCACGGGGAGACAGACATGCCTGTGAGCAGAATTTCCCTCCCTGACTCTGGAACAGGATGATCAGGCAGAATGCATTGCTGGCATACAGGTATGGCAGGTAAATGTAAGCAGTTTGTCCAGCTCAAAAACTCACTCCTACCTTCAGAAGAGCCTCAAACTGTGTGTCCTCGTGGACTGGTAACTGCGTTGGGATGTCACACTCATTCTGTCCATGCACAACAAGGGTTTTTGTGCCTAGAGGAAGAAAAGTTGTTGCATTTTCCTTGGCCTCTCTAATTAACTCAATTTCAAGAGACTGCCCATGGAGGAAGAGTGGTGCTTGAAATTCATCCCTGGACAGGCAGACAGACTATGCAAGTCCTATCTGGAACAATTAATTAGTGTTAACATATTCTTACACTTCCACAGTTTAATGAGAAATTGATCTGTTCTTAAAGGATGAGCTGATTTTAGCAGCAGCTGTCAGCTCTGAGGAAGAAACACAGGCAAAAGGTCAAACCTGCTTATCAGCAAGATATCTCTTGTCTGACTCACGATGCCCAGAGTCCAAATGGTAGTTTTACAATGATTCTTCTGCCAGCCCAGCTGGCACAAAACTCTGGGTTGAAATACTGTTCTGATTCACTTTCTGTTTGCTTCTTTTAGAGCTCTTAAAGTGTTTATTTTTTTGAGAATCTCAAGGAATCAGCAGTAGAATTTACTGACTGAATACTCAGCTGAAGGAAAACTGCCTTGAAATATGCAGCCATTTGTAACAAGTCTTTTTCTGATCCAGTTCTGATGTATCTTCTTTTTGGTAAAGTAGGCCATAAACTTTGAAGTGAAGGAGATTTAAAGGCTTATTTCTCATACCTGGCATTGAGGCAGTCACCAGCAGCTTCACTTCACACTGTTCCTTCTTCATGGTCTGTTTGAGATCCTTGAAGAAGAGTCCTTCAACATACCCCACCACTTCCCAAAGGAAGGTAAGAGTGGCAGAAATTGCATCCATGCCCCATTCACATGGAGTCCGTACAAAATACATGATCAATCCTACCTGCAGGTGATAAGTAAGAGGAATATCAATATCAATATCAGGTTGTACACACTCTTTTAACTGTGCAGAGCATTGTATAAACACAGAATAACCATACTGTTCTACCCTTCTTCATTCAGAGGGATAAGCTCATTAAACTTTCATCCTGAAATTTTACACGTATTAAAAAACAATCTGCCTGTAGTATTCTTCCTTTTTTCTAGAGATCATGAGATTGGGGGGAAAAATGTACTCTTGCAGTATAGCCTTAAGCACCACTGCAGATGAGGAAAAGGGAGAATGTCTGCAGTTAGAAAATTCCTATTCTTCCTGCTCTGAAGTGCTGCCATGTAGAAAACTCACAAACTACAGAAGGCTCCCTGGAGAAGGATACACCTTGTCTGCTTCACCTGCTATCTACAACATTTGTCCACAATCTTGAAAGAAGCTGCTAGATTTGCTCCGAGAGGACTGCCTAGCAGCAAAGCACCTTCTAAACCCAAATTAAGTAAAATAATTAAAAGTTTCTGGTGCTTGGACCCTTCTAATTGTCTTCAACTCATTGGCCAAGCTTCAGTTCAGAAACAGGTTTCTTAGGGGTTTGATAAAAAGAGAAAGGTTCTTTTTCCTCTCCCCAGAAGGTCAGCAAGGCCTGGTGCGGCCTGCACCCACAACCAGGAGCAAGTATGAGCTGCGTAAGGAAAATTAAGTGCAATTATTGCTCACATGAAGGCAGAGGAGAGATTCTGTGCTGCACAGCAGGCCCACAAGCTACTCACCAAGTAGTTAAAGAGGATATGAGATGTCTGGGCAGGAAAGTCTCCAATGTTCAACAAAAGCTTCCTTAGCATATACATCAGCTCGTCCTGGAGGAAAAGCAAAGGTGGTTTTCTTTCCCCACCAAAAAGTGAAGAACAGATTTCTCCTTTTTGTCCTTTCTTGCTTTGTTTCTTCCCATTTTTCCCTTTCCCAGCTTTGTCTCTCAGCACATGAAGTAAAACCATACACCTGTTACTGCTCTCAGATATTGCAAAATAAGGCCCAGGGCACAGCCCCCAGGCTAGTGTCATTCCCATTTTATCTCAGAGAGGCCAGTACCTCCTGTTGCAATTTGTACTGACAGTAACACTACTGACCATGCACTCTGTGATTATCCCTGTTGACTACCCAGGTGATCTGTGAAATCTAGCTCATCTCACCTCAACAGCTGTGGCTGCAGGGTGAGAGGTGTGGGCAGAATCTAACTTCCCTTTCCTTGGGAGACTGCCTGCCTTAAATGTAGGCTAAGATATTTCTCACAGTGTGAAGGGGTTATAGAAGGGACAGAATCTCACTGTCAGCTGAAGAGAGACTGATGGCATCACAAATGTCTTCTATGGCCCTTATCCTTTAACCCTACAGCAGATTTGACCCAGTGTTGTAGGCACGGGTATGCACAGGACAATCCATTCCAGTGATACACCTAGCAAAAGCTCCCAGGGAAATAAACCTGTTCTCTGTGTTCTGTACCTGTGGTTGTATGAGGAGATGGTGAAACAGATTGCAGTGCCTCAGAGGCCTCTGAGGCTGGACAGATAACAGCTTTCTTCTCAAAGGTACTGAACAAACAACCTCTCTGGCCAGAGATGTTGTGGATGCCCCACCCCTGGAAGTGTTTAAGGGTAGATTCAAAGGGGATTTGAGCAGCCTGGTGTAAAAGGCATTCTGTCAGTGGTGGGGGGCTGGAAGTATGTGATATTTAAGGTTGCTTCCAACCCAAACAATCCTATGAAACAGATGTGACCTTCTAACCTTTAATAAAAGCTTTGTGGGCAGTGGCTGAGAAATCTCAGGAACAGTAAGTCCACCAATACCTGCTTGCTCAAGGAACAAAAGGACAGCCTTTCCTGACATTTCTCAGGTTTAATATTCATTTCAGAGTCAGTTCTTAGGTAGTGGCTTGAAAGCTGAGGCCAGTGATACTATTGATACCATACACCAAATATGCAGTTGAGAAAGCAATATGGAGAATCTCCCTGCCTTGTACACAATCAGAACTGGTATGCTTTTCTTCCATGAATCTTAGCCATGCTCCTTGAAGCAGTCTAGTAAGCCACAGAGACACAATGCCAGCCCAGCTTTCAGAGAATCTGAATTCTCTGATTCTCTATTCAGAGAATCTGAAGAGAGTGGCATGAGTGAAGGCAGCACTGCCTGTGCTTCACTAAACAGCTGCTCAAAGCTTGGCTTAGTGGTGATAAATCAGATCCTTAGTGTTGATAGATCAGCTGTGTCCTGTTTACATCAGTGGACAAAGATTGCAGCCAAATAATGATATGCTGCCTTGTAATAGCAAATGTTCTTCTCCAGTGATGCCCACGAAGCGCTCCCCTGCTCTGAGGAGCTCTTACACCTGCTGGGGACAGGCACAGGGTACCTGTCGATTGCTGATCGTGAGCTTCTCAAGGAAGTGGCGCAGAACTGTGGAGGGGTCTTCAATTAAGCAGTTCCACAGGACCTGCTGAGCAACGGCACTTACTGTAAGAGAGAAAGGAAACCAGGTCAGGAGCCACCTCTTGGAAAAGCCATGAACTTGTTGGATACTTAAAAAAACATTCTTGGTCTTCTTCCTTCCTCTGTCATATTTTTTACTGAAACACCCATGACTCCATTTGATGTACCAGAATTCCTGGTAAGTGGTGCAGTGATTCCAGTAATAATAATCACAGGTCTAATACTTGAACCTTCCCTAACTACTGGTGATATGACAGGAAGCACTTCACGACTGTTAAGGAGTGATAAAGAAATAACTGTTTGGATTCATATCTGCAGATGGACAAAATCCAGCAACTGAGAGATATAAATTCATTTACTTTTTTTGTTCATGCACAGAAGTTCAATTTCATGGTGATTCATTCAGTGATTTTATCTGGTATTGGTGAACAGTATTAGATAGTCAGCAGGGAATTGTGTTGATGATCAACTCCCTAAAGTGCAATTAATTGCAGTCCTCTAAAGGTTAACAACAGTATAGAATTTTTCATGATTTTGTTTTCAGTACTCATCTCCTGATCACAAAATCACACATACATTGTTTAGGGGGCTGGCTACATACAGGTAAAATTGAATACAAAATGTAAGGGGAAGTTAAATGCGCAACAAGCTGACATGATGAGCGGAAAATGAGAAGCAGAACAGTCCACCATGTATTAACAGTTTCAAAAAAACAAATACAAGGAAATATACTATTAACTTACAAAGACATCATAGACCATAAACAAAATGTTCAGGCTGTGGCTTTCTGCTTGTTATAGGAACAAAAAAAATATGGGTGGGAATAGATATCCAGAGTTCTTCAGACCAAGCCCCACTTGGGGCAGGACTGTCACCTACACTAGGTATGTTAACCATAGCTTTGACTAGCCAGGGCTTGATAACCCCTGTGCATGAAGAATCAACAAAAATTATGCTCCTGGTGATTAACTACCTTCACAATTTCTAAACTGAATGTCCCATGTTGTAAACTCTGAGTCAGTGTTCTTCTAACTCTTTGTTTCCTTTGAATCACACCAAACAAGCACAGCTTCTACAATTACTCCTCAAAGAATACTTGTGTTAGGTCTCTGACTATCCTTGTCTCCCCCCACTAGATTTTTTTCAGCTTCTCAACATTTCTTTTGAATTAGGGGCTTTTTTAGGGTCCTGATAGGGTAAAAGCCCCTAAAAGCCAAACACAACGTATGTAGAAAATAAATAGGAAAAACTCTACAAAGATATATTTCTATTGTAAATCTACATTCAGATAGTTTTGAAACTGGTTCTGCCATCCTTAAGCAACAATCCCTTCAAGTTTAATCAAGGTCCATACCAGCTACTCCATCCTCCCGGACTTCTCCATCTTCCATCAAATGGACAATGGGGAGCACTGCTGCACAGATGCACGCTGGAAACACAGCCTGAGGTGGCTGAGGCACGTGATGGTTTGGAGTGTGCTCGGTGGTGTGTTCTTCATCTGGAGCAGTAAGAAGAAGAGGAGCTAGGGAACACACTGTGCTGCTAGCCAGGCAGGCTAGATCAACATTTATCTTAGTGGCTCTACACACAAAACAAAGATCTGTTCACTGTGCAAGCATGGCAGGTTTACTGCTATCTCCAAGTCAAAATAGAGCTTCCAGCCAACTTCTTGAGCAAGAATTTTCACCTGTAAATATGTAGTTTTTCAATTTAAGTTTCTTTTCTTGTAGGCAACCCAGTTTCTTTTGATAAAACCCCTTTTTTCAGCTAGAGTGCTCCCTGTAGCACTACTCTCCAAGTAGAACATGAGAAGCAAGAGAAAGTGTTGTGACAACAGGAGTGAATGAAATAATGAAGGGCAGTAACTTATTATAAAGAAGCACAAGCTTGGAAATATATTTGGCAAAAGGAAATGCCAGAGCTTTATGGGTCAACAGGAAAGGCTTCCAGTGAATGAAATCCTAGGAGGGAATGCTCCAAAGTGAAGTCACCCACCTTCTGCACTGACTGCTGAGCGCACTGACCACACAGAGCCACGGCGGAAAGAATAATTCCTGTGAGAAGTACTGGAGGTGCAGGACGGACTCACAGAGAGACGGCGGGAGGCCAGGTTGGCAACTTCTTCTACTGACAAAGAGAATATGAAATGTCAATCCAGATCCAGCTGACAGAGTTCAGGGAATATTTTGAAGGACAGCATTTACAACCAAGCCAGAACACTGAAAAGTCAAGTCAGGTAACACTCAAAAGACACAATTTGGAAGCTCTAAAGGTCAGCCAGACAGGTAATTTGTTCATGCTTTGGGAAACAGCAGAACACTGGTCCATAAGAGTGTTCAGTGCTCTGGTGCATCACATTGTAACAGAGCTGGCACCATACATTCTTTTCATGCACTCCCTGTTAACCATCATTGTTGCTGGTGCTTAGTTTTTCTTAAGAACTAGGATTTCTGCTCACAGATTTTCCAGTGTATGTTTAGATCTCATCAACCTAACTGCACACACCTTGGAATGGCTTTAATGAAGTCTTTGTGCTCTCTTAGCCTGGGCCAGTAAAACTCCTCACCCACAGACTAAGCTTATTGAGACTCATGTCATGTACTTTTGGCTGTCTGAAAGTTTGGTACGGAGCTTGGTCTGATCACCTGGGCTCCCCCACTATTCACCATAACGGTAGAAAACCCCAGGAGCTATTCAGTATATCCTAAGTTTCATTTCTTAACACAGATGCTGCCAAAGAGCAATTCCTCCCACCCTTTAATTATTAAAGAGTTAAAGTTGGGAAAGACAGATTTTACTCCTAGTGTTGTATATTCTCTTGTGTTGAATCCTGCAAGAAACTGAGAGCTTTGAGATGGCAAATGGTGGCAACTTCGGAAGTTGGGGCAGATGGGGTCAGTGTCTTTATTACCCAGTAAGAACTCAATATATCTGAGGTTTTGTCTCTTTTTTTTTTTCACTAATTTTCAAATATACTTTTTCTCAATGACTTGGGCTCTTCAACAAATTGACGTGGTTGGTACTTTGCTAACACTAAAAATCAGTTTTCCTGGACATCACTAAGCACTAATCAGTGCTCTGTGTTTGTGGGAAATGCTCTCAGGTTCCTGGGATGCAGTTCCTGGTCCCAGAGCACACCTTCTTCCTCCTGCTCAGAGCTTGGTGTACAGGATGGCTCGTAGCAGGCCTCCTGAGTGATGGGGATGGCAGTGATAAGACTGGCTTCCCGGCCCAGGCGTTTCTTCTCTTCCTCCTGCTGCAGGTTCTTCAGGATATGCTCAGCTCTCTGATGGGACCGTGACACAGCTCGGGCAGAAAATGACTTCTGTTGGGAGGAAGAGAGAAGAAGCACAGCTTGAAGCTGTTAGTTAAGATGCACACCGATTTTCTGGCACCTCAGTGACGTTCAGCAACTCAGTTTCTAAACAGAAGTCAGACTAGTGCCAGCTGAGCAGAGATCCACCAGGAGACTTACTGGCAATAAGCCTACAATAAGCTTTGGTGCAAACTTCTCCCAGGAGACACCATGTGAACCAGTGCAGACTAAATTGTCTCTCAGGCAGTTCTATTGGAAAAATCCTCTCTTGGAGAGAGAGAGCAGCAGTGTGCTCCTAAGATCTAAGTTAGTGTCTCTCACAGGGATGTGAGGTGCAGCACAGTGCCTCAGTGAACAAAAAGACAAGCTTGATGCTCATGTAGAAAGTTCTGTGTCCTACATAGAATATACAAGATTTTTTTCCCAGCTGGGAAAGACAATCTCAGAGGTTAATCCACATCTTTTGGCTTAACTTACCTCACACCTCTACAGAGAAAAAACAGTGCTTACTCTCAGGATGTCTGCTTACCGACTGATCTTCATTTATAGGATCCTGCACACTCCCACTGCACTGAGGCACCCAGGGAGGGTCAAACATTGGCACAGATGGCATCCCCAGCACAGGAGAAGGCAGAGTGAAGTTTATACTTGGAGGGGGAATCTAAACAAAACCATGAAAGGCATTTTGTTACAGCAAATTATTATTGTCAGTATTGTTAATTAAACGTGAGCACAAGTACCCAAGACATAAATTAACTCTGCCAGTTTTTCCCACCTCTGTATCTCACTGGCCTGGACTGTAACACCATGTATGACACACATCTTCTCTGATATATCTCCTGACCTGAGTCCCCATTTTATTCTCCCTATTTTATACAGGACTTCTTCATATCACCTCCCCCACTAGTGAGACTTATACAATCATTTTTTTTTTTTCCCTAAAGGAAATTTCATGGCAGTCGGCCATTACACATCTATCCCACAAGGCAAGCTGTAAATGTCATCACTAAGCTTCATGTGTCTTATCTACCTTGAAGATCTGCTGTGCTCCCTCTTCCATCCTTGGCCACACTTGATATCTGAACCTCCAGAGTGTGTGAAATTTAAGAATGGCATTCAGTCTCTGCACTGTTTCTGGGTGATGAAATTCGGACATCAGCATGTCAGAAACGGCCTCTGGCACTTTCACAGCACACAGCAGGAACATGGCAGCTGCAGGGAGAGAGCATCTGATCACCTGTGTTTCTCAATAATTTATTTGATGTTTATGTATTGATATTTATTTTTATTTTTATTTATTTATTTATTTGTTTGCTATCATTATTATTTTCTTTCTAATTTTATTTAATTAATTAATTAATTAATTAATTAATTAATTAATTAATTAATTAATTAATTAATTAATTAATTAATTAATTAATTAATTAATTAATTAATGTTTATTTGACAAAGAAAAACTGCAGGTGTACAAACCCACACCAAAAGAAACCCCATATCTTGGCTCCATAAATCACAATCACCAATCCACCAGGCCTAGAGAAAATTGTATTTCTTCATGAAACCAAGCAGGTGTGATTCCACCTTCCAGAGCCACACAGCATTACAGCTGAAGCTTGTAAATTCTTCTGGAAAATCTGCTTTTTAAAATAAAGTGCACCTTCGATCTTCTCAGCCATGACTTGTTCAAAATAAGAGCATCTCTTGAAGTAAAGGGACTAACTGAGTTTGGCTTTCAAAGGTTCTACTTCCAAGTGATTTGTGTGCTGATTAATCAAGGCTGATTTAACAGAAACTCTGGAATAGGAGACAGTGCCCCAGTGGAAGTCACCTGGCTATTTTCATGGGTGAAACCAGTTCTTAGTTAAGTGGGCTCCATGCAATGATTCCAATCTGTCTCCAAGAGAAAACAGACAAAGGACCACACAAAACAGCACAATGGTAGCTGATGTGAGGAAATAAGCTAGAAATTCCTGACTGAGAGACAGTTTTACAGTCTATAAAAGCTACACGAATTTCCACAGAGACAGAAGCCTCCCACACAGCCCCTGAAACATACAGGGGATGTTCTCACCTGTGAGGGGAGATGTGACTCCACAGATACTTTCCCTGGGAATTGAGAGGAAAGATTCTATGTGTACCCCATCATCAATTAGGTGGTAAGTACATTGGATCTTAAGCTGCATTGTTTCTTCACTAGCTGTAATATATGTAATACATTACATATATGTGTATATATTACATATATGTATACATATGTAATATATATATATGTAGTATATGTAATATAAGGTATTTCTATCATGCACTGTATGTTATCTGCTAATAGTTATTTTTGTTTATTTCCTGTGTAGTGAATAGCCAGTTTAAAATCTTGTTTCTGTTAATTTTGTGTCTATTAAATAAATAATTTAATCTATGACAGACCAAATCAGCCATTATTAAAGAACTTGTGAACAAGAGTGGGTTTTGGGGGGCTGGCCACCCCAATAAAGCTACTATCTGCTGCCAGAGGCCTGGGCAAAAGGCAGGGATTTAGCTAAGCTCCTATCTCCATTTGTAACAGTAGCTGAGCTAACCCATTGCTGTTTCAATGGATCCTATTGGAATATAAACAGTCATTAATTAAAATACAGACTGATGGAGGACAATCAGTGCAGAGGGTGTCTGAGGGGCACTGCAGGAGACAGGAGCAGAGGGATTAGTGTGGCTGTGGGAGTTCAGTGGTGTTAGAGAATCCATGGCTTCTTTGACCAGTGTCAAAGCAGAGCAACAAAGACAATTTCTCTGGATTTGGTGGCTGTTCCTCCACAGTAGGAAGAAGATATTTGCCACTGTGTTTTCTTCAATGCCTGTTCAGCAGGTGCCAGGCCCCAGAGCAGTGCTTATGGGAGGCAGTGTGACCACTGCAGGAAAACAAGGCTGAAAACAAGTCTCTGACTTCCTGGGCTCCTGGTGCTGCTCAAAATCTGTGGGGACCTTGAAGTTTTACCAGCTCAGACAATCTTCTGCTCTCTGATCTTCTCAGACTATAACAAGCCTTAGTAGGACAGATGTAAAAGTGTGAGTTCATTCTGAAGCAACCAAGAACAGAAACAGAGCCCAGAGGAGAGGTCAGCAGATGGTGCTGGAGTACATTAACAAGGCATTCTTTTAATCTAGCTTCTGTATAGCAACACTGGGGGTTTTCAGGGTTTGACCTTGATGAATGCAATTTGTGCTTGGTCTGTATTCACCTGCTACTAAAAAAAAGCTACTACAGACCCTCCAGTGAATTTTAATCTTCCCTTCAGGAAAGGGAGAAGAAGGAAGATCTATTTCAGAGGCTGCTAGCACTCCTCAGGAAGAACAGCAAAGCTTCATCCCATTCCCTGTGACCCATGCAAATATTTTAATTAGAATCACAGAATCATTAAGGTTGAAAAGGACCTCTAAGATCAAAGAGTTAAAAAAGTATCCAAAATTATTCCCTCAGGAAGGGACTTGAAGCAGGGAAAGGTGTACAGCATCAGGCAGATTATTTCTGTTTATTTTGCTCCTTTCTCTTCCTGTCTACACATTTGACCTGGGAAAGGCAAAGGTTAAAGGGAGAGCACAGAAAGACCTGAAATGAAGTGGTCTGTGCACTGGTGGAGTAGACCAGTGGAAGAAGTAGACTGGTGGAAAATCTGCTTTTCCAGTGAGGGAAAGAGAGGGAAACCTGAAGGCCACGAGGGGGTGTGGGTCAAACAATGTACTTCAGGGCAGAATTCATTGTTAGCTGTGGAAAATAAAGGCCTGGTGTACTGGATTGAAACGTGACAGAAAGGGGAATGATGTTTGAAGAGTGTTTCAAAACTCTTGCACGGTTAACAGCTTTTGATTAAAAATGTCTCTAACTTAATCTTCAGTGAAAGAACACCTCTGCCTCAATAGGTATGCAAACCTGTGAAAGGAGGAAATCTTCCAGCCATTTCCTTGCCTGCTGGGGGACGAGAAAAGTAGAATTTGAAAGTTGTGGGAGATTGGTTCACAAACAAATTCAATTAATTTGCAGCTTATTTAAGTAAACTGTGTACTGTGTGTGAAGGATGTTCACAGTTTCTAAGGCCGTGCCTCATGATATCTGCTCATCTCACATTAGCACACACTGACTAGGAGTGTTTGGACAGGACAGTAAGACTAGAGAGGATCTCCTGAGCCATGTCATCAAATTCCTTTCATAAGCTCTTAAACCAAAGGGCTTTTGCTTTCTTTTCTGGTGGCTAGAAATCTGTTTTCCATGTGAAAGAAGTCATAAAACGTTATTACCCATCTTCATTCTACTCTAACAAGTTATTCTTAAATATTTAATAAATGATATTTCTTTAAATAATAATTAAGTAATCCAATAATCTGTCATTATGAAGAGTAAAGATATCCCCTCTCAGTCTTCATCTGAATCCATTAAATAAATATCCTATATATCATACAAGCTCTTAATTCTTCCTCCTGTCCTAACAGCATCTGTTACACATAAATATCTTACTTCAGTGACCAAAACTGTGCATTCCAAGTGCTGTGTTCTAGGTAATTGTACATCGTGTTTTACAGTAGCATTAATACTTTGAATTGCTAATGAAATACCTCTTCTGACACATTCTGACTGGGTTTATTTTTTCACAGCTGGTCATTAGGTCATCTTTTGGCCAAGGGATAAACTCTGAACCCAGATCATTCTTCTTTCCATGGGAGAAGATCCAAGCTCATAGGAGAAAAATTCTTATTACTACTTTGCAACAACATATGTGATTTTGTATTTTATTGTAATAAATCTCATGCCGTGTGCAGAATTTCAAAGTGCTGCTTTCACAGGTACAGGATGTCCTAATCATCTGTCTTAAAGATGCTTCTCAACTATGTGTCATCAGCAATCATCTGTACACTTTAAAACCAGGTGGAAATGGAAAATTTAGGTATTACCATACAACAACAGTACTCAATGAGCAATGCTGTTGTCTCCATGCAACATGAGAATTTTCCTTGTTGCATAACAGGAGCTGTGACAGTTTCACTCTCATTCCCTGGGTCATTTTTGCATGCACTCACAACTGGTACTAACATTTCCATGAGGCAGCATACAGAATGCTTTAGCAGACTCTGGACAGACTGAATCACCGTGTTTCCCCTGCCTACAAACCCAACCGAATACAAATACTAATTTTTATATTCTTCAAACATCCAGGGCCTCCTGATCCTTCTGACCACCTCTTTTCCACAGAGCACACAACACTCTGTGGAAACCAAACAGCCCCCAAGAAACCCGTGGTGGCCTCCAGATTCCTCCACTACAAAACTGCAAAGTCCTGGGGTCAGCAGTGAGTTGTGCAGCCTCAGCAGCCCTGCAGAGGGGTTTGGCTCTCTTACCTGCTGCTCCAGCCATGTGCTCATCCACACTGAGCAGGAGCTCCCATGCTGCTGGCTGGATGTCCCCGTACATCTCCTCGGTGAGGATAGGAGCTGCCTTGATCAGCAGTGACAGAGGGGCAGGGGAGAGGCTCATGACCTGCAACAAACCAAGCCATGCCTTAGGGCTGAGCTGTGCAAACCATCCACAGGGAAGAACACACTCGGTGATTTTACCCTGGTTTTGGTCTGCAAATTACCTGCTAATAACCTCCAAGTTCATAATTTCAGAAAACTCTCCAGACAGGGGATGTGGCTTGCAGCCTATACTAAAATGGCAGTCTTTCTACTTCCTAGAGTCCTTTGCTTGTCCCTCACATCACCAAAACACCAAAAAAGAGGACAGAAGGAAAGCCAAACTCTCCCAAAGTAGTGCACAAACAGCAATACAGGTCCATTAAACTCTCACTAAGAACAGGCTTATGAAGATTATGTTGCTTTTCAGGAACCTTGAACAAGAACAAAGAAAACTAATACTGTAAACTGATAGGCTGCAGTTAAATATACCTGTGAATTCTTGGGTTTTCTGTATCCTCAGCTCTGGTGCATATGTCACTATGGAAAGCCAGAGATGCAGACTGTGATTTAATGGAGCTAACTGTTTAAAGGATTCTTTGACCATGTTTCCTTAAGAGGTTTAAATTTCATATTACTCAGATTGGGAAAAGATGCAGGGCTGAACTGAGTGATATTCAGGCACAGTTCTTCACATGGGCTTGGAGATCCATATATATTTTCACTCTTGTTGCATTTTAACCTGGCACCTATATATCTGCCTCCCTAACTAGTATATGGCCTAATCAGTACCTGATTCCTGATGTACTTTAGCATTCCAGAGTCCTTCTTCCCTTCCAAGTTGATATCAATCACTCTCTTTTTAAGAGAAGGAGTTCTCAGGCATGACTTGTCTGAGCACTGGAAGGAAATAAAAAGAAAGTGGAGTTCACATTTATAGTTCTCAAAATGTGGAAAAAGGAGATTACGTACAAGAGGAATTTCCATATACTAGAAACCATCTGGTATCAGAGCTGTAGCTGGCAACAGGCCTAGTATCAGTGAGACAACACATCTCATCCAATTTTCTTCTATTTTTAACAATGCTTTTCCCAATAAAATCTTAAGGCAGACGACAGCAAACTGAATGAAGAATGTGAATGTTCTCTGTGTAACCTTCACTGGTGGCACACCCATGTATTTAGTTAAGTAGATTAGAGGCAAAAAGTTTACATCTTCCCCCTAAAAAATTACCAGTGCAAGTCTTCAGTGTACAGAATGATTTCTCTCACAGAATCATAGAATCATTGATGTGTGAAAAGACCTCTAAGATCATCAAGTCAAACCAGTAGTTTAATGCTAAATCATGTCCCCAGGTGCCACATCCTTACAGTTTTGAAAGCCCTCCAGGGATGGTGCCCCACTGGCTCACTGGGCAGCCTGTGCCAGGGCTGGACAAACCTTTCAGAGTAGTTTTTCCTAATATTCAATCTAACCCTCCCCTGGTGCAACTTGAGGCCATTTCCTCTCAATCATGCCCCTTGTTTCCTGGGAGCAAAGTCTCTCTTGAGCCTCCTTTTCTCCAGGCTGAGCCCCCCCAACTCCCTCAGCTACTCCTGGTGCTCCAGCCCCTTCCAACTCTCCATTCCCTCCTCTGGACACACTTCCATGTCTTTCTTGGGCTATGAAAAAAACAAAGATTGTCAATTGCTCTCTGGAAGCGAGGTCTGTGCAAACACCCTGCACGTGTTTTTAGGAAACCTCACCACCTCTCAAATTCTTTTTTCCTGCTGCTTCTTAAATGTTTGATGGTCTGATGTATGATGAAATGCATGTCTCTGTCTTGCAATTCAAATTTGGAGATGAAACAAGGCACAGAAATGCACAGTTCTTCTGCTACCTTTCATGAAACATAGCATCTATCATCTCTTGCCTGGTTTGCAGAGGAAATGACTGCCTCTCTTTCTAAATAACTCATGCTTTTCTGTGCTAGAGGAAAAACGTGGGGTTTACAGTTTTCAGGAAAGCAGAACCATTCGCTTCTGTTTCACCTGCTCTGTGCTTTCCTCCCTGAAAATATCCTTCAATTTTCTAACTTGACAGGAAACAAAAAATCTCCTGGTTGATGAAGAAACATAATGAAGTTTTCTCCTGCATATGCCACTGCCAGTGATGATAGCCTCTTTACCCAGCTGAAAGCTTCATGAGAGTTTCATGAACACTTTTGTTTTCAATGTTACTGCAAAGCAGTTGAATGGCTCTGCCATTACAATTTTTCAGGATAACTGTAGTCTGCTGTGGTTTAACTCTTGACAAAATTCAATTAGTGCCTGGGTGGGCACTTTCCTGGAAGCAGAAATGTATTTCCACTAAAGTACACTTTGACATGTAAAAAGGCACAAAGTTGTCTGAATGTCCTGCTGAAATGGTCATTAAAAGGAGACAAACATTAAAGACTAAGGTATACAGTTCTTGGAACAGCTGAGACTCAGACCTAAAAGAAAGAAATTACACAAGATTTTATAAGAATTTCAAGAGTGATTCCAAATAACAGACAAGAAAAAGCATGAACAAAGAGAGACAGAATCCACAGGGTAGTAAATAGAGACCGCTAAAAAATTGAAGTCAGGTTGTAAGCTTTTAAAATTACCTTATCAGTAATTAAGATTCGTCCCAATCAACACAGATTACATTCCTTACATAATGATGAATGACTTAATTGCTGAGGCTTTTAAGCTAAGCTAAAAAGGAAAAGCTACATTCATTTTGTCATGAAAGAACTGTATGAACACATTATGCGATTTTCGAAGGCAATAATTACGTGCCTGGACAAACCCCAAAACATTCTGCTTTTTCCATTTACTCACTTCCTTTTGTTTTTTGCCTCTTGCCACGTTGTTCAAAGTGCTGTTTCCTCGCAGGGAGTCCACTGTATCTCCATACAGCAGCTTGATGGCCCGGACAAGGCGAGCACAGGACCGGCTGTGGTGCAGGTAGCAGTGTGGGTGACAGTAGTCAATGTGTGTGCATATGAAACTCTGCTGGTTGCATAATAGGATCATAACCTGGAAATTAAAAAATAAATAGTTACCTGTAGAAAAAGGAGTTACACAGGCAGCCATTGGGACAGTCAAGCAAACTCAGCCTAGCTAGGGAGGTGTGAGCACAGATTTAAAAAGGTGTGTGTGTGTGTCTGTAGATCTTCATACATACAAGAGGTTTGCAAACTAGCTGGGCATGGCTAAAGAGGCATTAGTGCTAGCAAAGCAAAGAAACAGAGCTGTTATAGATGTGTTTATTCAGCTGGTGGCAAGACTAAGGCTGAGGAAAACAGCATCCTCTCAGTTTGCGGAAAAGCTCTCTAAGATTAGAGCCTGGACTGGAAACCATCAACTAGCAATTGTTATTAAAGCTGCAACCCCACTGTCTTTGGGGGGTACTTTGCTTCAGGGGATGAAAAGGGAAATATCTCAGTATGCTCTCAAGCAGAAATCAGCTGTGTCTGCTGCCCTGCATATCCTTCCCTCAGTGTCATTGGGTAGACCCATCCAGCCCAGCTCCATGGTAGCTGGCTCAGTTGCTGTTTCTATTAGTGTTGCCATATGGCAGCAAGGAGTAGTAAAACTTATCTAAAAATCAGGTAAATATTTAGCTATGCTGAGCCCTGTTTTGATGCAGAAACACTGGTATTAGTCCCTAAGCTCCTTAATTAAGGACAGCCTTGGCAAGCCTACACTTGAGTGAGTGCTCTCTGGTGTAACTCAGATGTTTTCCACAAACCCAGCCTCTTATTAGCACTCTGAGGAAAACACACAGACACCTCAAAGCCATTCACACTGCAGGTCTTAACAAGCCTTTATGAATCTTTCTCTTCCCCCCACAATCCAGAAATACCCAGAACTACCAGAAGGAAGCTATCCCAATTTTCCATCCTCTGTGTCTATGTCTGTGCAGCTGCAGTCTGCTGGATCTCTCTCCAAGCTGCCACATCATTCTCAGCCTTAAAATATTTAAGCTGCTAAAAATCACAGGAGCTTAATCTAAAACAAATCTGTGTAATGTTTCTAGGATTCCTGTGTTTGCCTCCTTGTTCTGGCCTCCTGTTATTTCAGGATCAATAAAGAATAACTCAGTATTTGTATCAATATACAAATTGTACAGCAGCACTGTCAAGCTTCTACCAGCCTCTGGTCCACTCTGATAAATTGCTGTAATGGTAGATTGACAAAGAGTGAGGACACCATGATCCAGGCTCCCTAGAGGACAGGTAAAGGAAATGTTGGTGTCTTCACAACAGCAAATGGAACCTGTGATCCTTTTGAGTTGTTTGCTTGCAACAACTAAGTAAAGCAGCCTTTTTTTTTGTCTGTAGTTTTAGTAACCATCTAGCCATACCTTCTTTCTAACAAATGAAAAAAAAAAAGCACTGCCATGTAATATTGCTACTTGTGTGTCATTAGCTGTACCAGGTGTTTTTTCAAATTTTCCTTTCTCCTATGCAAGTGAATCACATGAAAAGTGAGACAAACATCTCAAGTTTCCTTCAGAATTCGTGAGTTCATATGCATCCTCCCACACTGAGCAAGGGCACCATGATTTATCTCAAGCTTCTAACTAGGGAAATTCCCTTATCTTCTAGTGATACTCAGTTTACTACATTGGACTTTCCAAATGAGATATAAGTGTTACCAAGAGCATAAGAGTACTGTCAGAAAACAGGGTAGTCCAGGGATTGAGATATTCAATTGGAAGACATGGCATTCAAGTTCTCTGCCCTGCCAGCCTCATGTAAAAAGAGAATTATCAAGAACTGTTTCTGACATCAAAGTATTGGATTAAACCTTTTCTTGCCCACACCCCATGGGAATGGGGTGGCTGAGAGCAGTCTGTGTGAAATATCTGGGGAAAAAACAAAGATACCAAGTCAGTACTGACAGCTGTCTTCCCCAAAGACAACTCCAAAGTCAAAGGGTGTCTGTGCAGTCTGGGGACACCCGGAGATTGAGCAGTGCAGACCTGCCCAGCTGGCTTCTGGCAAGCCTAAATCCAGGGATGCCTTAGACCCTGCATGAGCAAACCACAGCTGCACTGTTGTGCACTCCCTGTCTGTTGGACAGAGTCAAAACTATACAAGTCTTTGTTGGCTTGCACGAGCAGCTTCTGAAATGCCACCTCCCAGAGGCTGGGGCCCAGCTCACACTGCAGCCCTGTTCTGCTGCTCTCCCTGAAATACACACTACTGGCCATGCTGGAGATACTGAGCTAATGTATTTTCCAGCTGAGGTAGTATGGCTGTCCCTGCACACCCAGGGATTAAAAAAACCCCCACATATATGAACTAGAGAGAAGGAGATTTAAGTCCTTTCTAGACATGGCAAACACACAATTTCCACAGGTCGCAGCTTATTTTCACTTGAGATCCTTTATGCTATATGGAAAAAGCACAAACTGTGATCTGGTTATTGCCAGACAAAGGTTTTTCTATTGAAAATGGCATACTTGAGAGCACTGCTGGTGACTGGTACTTACGTGCAGCCACGACATGTTCCGATGATAGTTCTCCTCCATGCCCGTGTTGCTCAGTACCTCGTGTTCAATGCTGGGCTCGCTTGCACTCCAAGGGCTCCCTTCTTCAAAAGAAAAATACCCAAAAGGTTGTTGTTTTTATTGCTGCCTATGTGCTGTAAGACTAGGGACAACAGTTGTAAGCCAGGCCAGCCTTGTGGGAACAGATGAGAGTACACAGAATATGTCACACTGGAAAGACTGCATTTGGACATCCCTCCCCAGTCCTGTGCTGGCTTGACTCTTACAAGAACTGTTCGGACTTGACCCATAGGCCATCCTGTCAGTAGCAAACATTGGTCCCTCCATTTTTATCTTTTTTTATTTACTGGAAGGGAAATGGATAATCCAAAACCATCATAAACAGATTCTTTGCACCATTCAGATGCTTCAAATGGTTGGTTTAGTGATCTGCATTGACTGGGCTCTGTGGTTAAAAAGGTCAAGAAAAATCCAACCAGAAGTGGCATCCAACTGGAAGTGCCAACAGGCAAAGTCCCTTCTAAGTGCCCATAGAAACTTCTAATGTCATGGGGATGAAAGGGGAAAAAAATCCTGATTCTAGCACACTAGAACACTTTAGAACTCAGCCAAGGGAGAGATTTCCCTGAGAATTTCACTGACCTCTGTGTTTTCCCTACATACTACATACCCCATGGACCTCCTATAAAACTAATACTAATGATATTAAGATTTGGCTGGAGATGACTTTTGGTTTACCCTTTTTCTCTTTTTTAAGTGAACTGTGACTCATCAAAGTTTACAGAATTGACAATCCCACTCTCCGTGTTCTCCTACTGAAGCATCTTTTGGGCAACATAAAAATGAGAATTAAACTTGGGAGGTTATTTCAGGTCTAAATGTATCCACAGTTTTTGGTTAACATCAATAGTGAAGGGAAGCCCTTTAATTCAGCTGTGATGGAGATTTCACAGAATAGGATGCACATCTTTTTTCCCATAAGATAAATGTATGGATATCCATCTTTTAAATACTAAGAAAAGCAGCTGTAAACCACAAAAATTGATGTTTATGTCAGTATGTAGAAATATAGTACGCAGCATGTGAATGTTATGCTCTGCATATAGGAATACATGTTTTACATGTCACCTGACATGCTTGTGACATCATATCCAACATAGAATATGAAGTACATGCCTAAATATATATGTATTTATATATATATATTTATTTTTATATATATATATATATATATATATATACATATAAAATATATACACATATAGCCAGTGTGTTGCTATGGACACTAAAATATCATATATACACATGACCTCATGCATTCATTGTATCCTGTGATTTAGGGGGGTGGGTGTGTGTGCAGATAGACAGGTGCATGTGCTACCCTGAAGAGAGCAAGCATTTAGCTAGCAGGCCAGCATTCTGAGAGCTCATGCTCCAACACGGTGCTGAACTGACAATCTGTGCACGGAGCCGACACTGCACCCAGGGTTTGTACCGTGTTCCTCCCAGGCCCTAGTCCAGGCAGTCCCTGAAGAGAGCTCTAGATTTTTCCTAGCCTGCAGAGGTGGGGATCTCTTGTCATTCCTAGCTCTGCTGCAATCACATCAAGAGTTTCAGGTCCTTCCTACCGTCCCCTCCCTTTCCACCCGCTCATCTAAGTTACCTATATCAGTGACAGTGTCCCTGCTGTGGGACAGCTGCAGCTCCTCATTCTCAGACTCTGAGTCCTGCCGTGATAACTTGGTGCTCTTTAGGCTGCCGGCCCGGCGAATGCTGGAAAGGGAACCCCCCTTCTTCACCCGGAAACTGCGGGTTCCTTTAATCTGGAGCAAGCGGGAGCCTCCTATCCTGATCTTCCTGCTGGGAACTGTATTAAAAGAATAAAAGAGGACTTTTTTCCCCTTAATTTTTCCCCATTTAAAAAAGAAAGAGATGCTGGCCCTCCCCACCCTCCCGACCCTTTGCTGCCAGCCTGTATTGCAGCGTCTTCTGCCAAGGAATGTGGGCTCAGAGGCTCCCTCCAAAGCCAACGCCAATGCAGCTCGATCAGTCAGGGAGTAAAGATGCTTCACAAGAATGTGTTCAACACCTCATATCCTGGAGATCTGGTACATCGCTTCAGGCCTTGTCTGTATTTGGAATTAGCCTTTGTTCAACCACCAGCAAGTAGAGTCATCTACGCTAACAAAAACCCAAAACGTGGACGAGAAAATCCTACAATTCACACCGATTCGAATCAATTCCTGCCAGGAAGCAGGATCTGCCCAATGGATGTAAATTGCAGTTTTCCTTGCCAGTCCTTAGAGTTTACATTAGGGCAGCATCACCTCTTGCTATGGCTAGCTGGCTGAATCCCAAGCATGAACAAGGCATCTTGGACAAACCTATTTTCCCACGGGCCTGGGCTCTGTAAACCTCACTGAGCTCTGCAGTAGGATCAATTATTTATTTATACAGCATGTGTGACTGCAAGAGGGGAGTCTGCTCCGTGGGGCTAGCACACAAGGCTTCCTTGAAGTAAGATTTGCATAAATCTGTGTCTCTGCATGTTACTCTTCATCATTAGAATGCTTTAGAGGAAACAGAAGCACGTGGATCTTCTCCTTCAGACAAATCAGCAGCTTTCAGGCATTAACAACATCCACTGACACTCTGCATTTTTGATGAGCACAGACATGGAATGGTTCAATGTTTAAAGCACCAACTGTTAGCACTTTCATTCTCCTCTTAGTTCAAAGGCATTGCACGGCAGTATGTCAGTCCAAATGTTGCAACACTCAGTCATTTCACTGCAGGTCTAACCAGGCAAGGCCACGTGTGATCAATCACCTTTTGGTGTGGGGTTGGGAATGAACAGCACTGAGCTTTTTGGATACCATGGGTAAGCAAAATATTTAAATAGAATTGTATTTTGGCGTCAGGATAAAGCAAACACACCTTTGCTCCTGAGATTGCCCCAGTTCCTCCAGAATGGAATTCCCACTCCCATTTCCAGTGGCTAGTGTGCTGGTCAAAGACAGCTGGATATATTTTGAGAGCTACCTCTCATTCCTGACAAATCAGTTGGCAAACCACTGTCGAGTGACCAAAGAATCTCCCTCCAAGTGACCATGCTAAGCTCCTTAGCAATTGCAACTGCTTGAATAATGTTCAGATCAGCTCCACGAATCCCAAATTGCTTAAGCAAGCTTGTAACTGCATTAATGGTCTGCAGAATCCCATTTTGGCACCCAAAAAGTACATGTGATCATCTGAGAGCCTGCATCTACCTAACTGCAGTGTCTGTATTTCAGACCTACCTGGAGCAGATTCTATAGAGTAAACCCGTGGCTTTTGGATAGCTGCTAAGCCATGCCTGGTGGGGGAGCAATGAGAGCAAAGTTTTTAACACTCCAGAAAAATGAAGGGAAACAGATTAGTACTCATCAAAGAGTTTGAGATAAAGAAACCCCTCACTGCAGGCAAGCAAAGTTTAGTTACATTCACACGACAACGTTTTCTTATCTAGAAAAGTGTAGATTATGAAAGATGCCTCTGCATCTGAAGTGTTTGGCCCAGGTGGATCCCCAGAAGAATATGCTGTGGCCAAAGAAAAGAACATAATTATTGTAACTTTGAAATATAACATTACCTTTCATTTATTAAGCTTCTAAAATAGTGGAATTACATTTTTGCTAAGGTATATTAGGATTCAACCTTTCTACCATAGTCACTTTCCCCACGTCTAAAACGCAGTAAAGAGGCATCTTTAGTAAAGGAAAACTACGTGACAGCTTAGGAAAAAGGGATAATGGAAAGAAAACTCAAATAAAACTGCAGGAAAATGTAGTTTAATGGAGAAAAGGATGCAGAAGGTCAATACTAACTTTGCAAAAAGTACATTACGCCTGTAGCACAGAAACATGCAAAGGAAAAGCTAAGTCAGCATTGTCTCTAAGAAAAAGAGGATAGTTAGAGACTTTCCACCAGAATTTCCCAGCAGGACTGCCTGCTTGAAGGTATTCTCCCACCCAGGTAATGTCCCAGTGGGCAGGGCTGTTCCCTGAAAAGCTTAAAAATGGTTTCAAGCAATTGTCATAACTATCCTCAAAAAAAACCAAAAAACAAACCCAACCCCAACCCAAACTTTTCCTCATCCAAATAGGCAGACACATTTATCCCACACATCTTAGACTATCAGACAGACCATAAGGCTGTGTGTTTTTCTGGGCTGCCAACATACCAAAAGTAGATAAATTGAGGTTGAGCATCCATTTATCCAGCTCACCTTTCTTAGGTGGGTACTCATCTGTCTGCACAGAAGTAACTGGCCCAACAGACACACAATTTTGGAGAAAGTTTTATACCACGCAAGTCTTGGAAGCATTTCTAATATATTCTCCAGTAATTGTGGCAAGGTCACAGCTGAAGACAAGTTGAAGACAACACAAACTTTATCCAAAGCCAGTAGAAGTCAAAAAAAGCTCCTCTGAATCATTAATAGACATTACAGTTCTGAGACAAAAACCAGCCACAGACCTCACTGCTGTGAAACAACCATTCAACATTTATCCTTTTCAAGCAATCATCAAAATTATCATCCAAATTCCTGCACCTGCAAATTCCTACCATGAGACAGAATGTAAACAGCTCTAGGAAACTTGTTAGAGGGTCATCTTGAGGTAGCTGGCAGTTTAGTCTCTAATTGCAAATACACACAATGACTATATTGTATTGCAACACTTGTACCATCAGATAGAATGTGAGTCTTGCATGAGATGGCTCAAAAATGGAAACGATCTGCTATTCTCAGCAAACACAGTGAGCTTGAAGTTTGCTTGTACAGTATAGAGTATGTTGGTAACATCAATCTGCTAGCCATCAAAAGCCACACAGTGTATTTTTAATGTGGTAGCAAAGAATTCAAGAGACCAATCACACTAATTTGTTGTGATGCCGTGACTTCCAAACTGGAACAGATTTTCCAGAGAAAAATACCAATCTTTCCTTCTATCTGTGATTTCCCCAAACTGAAAAAAATAGGGTCAGAAAAAAACTAACACCGCTTTTGATCTTTATTTTTACAGTGAATCAAATGGGGATGTTTTTCTCATCATCCCACTAAGAGACAGTTTCAAACAAGGCTTGCTCCTTTTTAGCAAGTGTGCAAAGCTTTCGCTGTATTTCAGTCATAGCACTGTTTTATCAAATTTAACATCTTTGCTTCTCACATTTATTATATTGAACCCTGAAGGCCAGAAGCATCTGGGAAATGATTTAAAGCCACGTGACTCTATGGCTGCCTGCTTTTTAACACAGTCTATGCAAATGAAAACACAAAATCAAGCGCCACTTCACAAGCCCTGAGAATACAAAAGCCTTATTGTTCTGACAAACCTTTTTTCTCCTCGAAGCCAGCCTCAGATTTGAGGGTGTGGCTGCTGCTGTGTAGGGAATCCTTTGAGTCTTCATTTTCATCCAGAACCCCAGCAAAGCTGATCTTTCTCTCATACCTGTGTCTGTCCATCTCAGGATCCAGACGCAGCCTGCAGCACTCCAGATCCTGCAGCAGAACGTAGAACACACAGATGTGCCAGCAGTATGAGCTAGAGAAGCTTCAGGAAGAACTGCTTCAGATGGGCTTCATTTTAATCACACATAAGCCAACTGCTCTTTGGCCTTGTAGCAGGCTGAGCCACCTGCCAGGATGGGAGAGTTACCAGGTGCTAACACATATTGCTGGCTAACATTCCCCAGTGCATTAACACTCTGGCTGCAGGCTCAAGGGGGGGAAACATAAATCACAGAATCACAGAATGATTAAGACTGGAAGGGACCTCTGGAGATCATCTAGTCCAACCCTCCTGCCAAGTCAGGGTCACTCAGAGCAGGTGACACAAGAATACAGCTAGGTGGGTTTGGAATGTCTCCAGCTGTGAGCAAAATGAGTTTTATCTGCACCAGGATCAGTAAAAGGCTTTGGGTGAAATTTCAGTCAGGACCATCGACCTCACACAGCCCACAGCCTTGGCAAGCCTGCATGCTCTCTTGGTAGCTAAACTAGCTCACCAAAACGAGCTCAGTTGCAAATGTTTCAGTTCTTCAAGGTTTCTAAGGCTGTGCCCCTATCTATGGAACCACTGTGCCTACAAACACCTGTGGCAGTGAGATTTGCTCTACTGAAATTCCACCATTACCTGATCCTCTCGGAAAGGAAGCACCACTCCAAAAATACAGTTAATATTTTAGTCTGGATTATTTTTGCCTGCTTTTTTTCCCTCTGTACAAAGTTAGAAGCAGCCATCTATGGCCATTTATCTTACAGACCCCTTCATAGTGTGCTCTTAAAGTTTCTTTCACCTATAGCTCAGAGAATAATTCCTCCTCCTCGTCTCCCATATACAATTCTAGAAAGGCATTAACCAGTTGCACTTCTAGCTCACATAAAAGCACTAATTTCTGTTGACCTTCATTATCCAACATATTCTTAGTTCCAGGCCTAACTACTTAATGACATGAATTCTAAACCATGGTATTATCCTGCTTGTGGATGCAGTCATTTATTATGTTGTAATATCATCAATGTGTTTAAGGAGGATTTTGCTGAATTTATTGCCCTTCTTGCATACCTTGAGGCTGACCCACTTCATCAGAGGTCATCTGCAGCCTTTGGAATAATTTTCAGAACGTAATTACAATATTATCCAGATAAATCATCCTGTCAAGCATAATTGCCATGACTAAAATTTGATCTGTCATTAATAAAAACCAGGGTAGCGGGGCTAAATCCTTCATGAAAATTTAACTTCTCATTTTTTCTCCATAATTTTTATCCTGATTTCTTAAAGAAATTTGGCTTAAAAGCTGAACCTATGTCAGCCACTCAATTCTCTTCTCATTCCATGCTACCCACCTCTGAAGCTGAGGGTCACTGAAGCTCACCTCATCAACAGATGACTGTGTGAGTGTGTATTTTTTGAAACAACTGGAGTTTTTACCCTGCCCTACCTCTCATCAGAGCCTGGAATCCACGATTCTGTGGGCAAAGCCCTCTGCAATGTGTGTGGCCCACTTACCACAAGAGGTTCTGTCCGTGGTCTGGGCATGTAGGGAAAGGTCTCTCGAAGGAATGTGGTTATCTCCAGCAGGAGCTGACACGCAGCCATTTTTAGTGCAAAAGGACAACAACATTTGGTAGGATTCACAGTGCCTAGGAAAGAACATTTCTATCATGAACAAGGAATTAATACAAGATCTGGAACCAAGAGGTGATGGACATTGTCACATATGGTGCAGAATGCAGTGAACTGCAGTGAAAAGCAGGGGGCCTCACACTTCTGTGCTACTTTTCCTGTGCTAAAAGAAACAGAATCAATCAAATAACAAACCATGTATTTACCAGCACATGAAACAATACTAACATTTATATTACATTATATCATATCACATTTTTTTATATTATATTAATGGTATATTACATTGTATTATATTATATTATTTATTATATTAGACTGCATTACATTGAAGTAACATGATAATTGACATATATTATATATTACAGTATATTATGTTATATAATTATATAATTATAACATAATAATTTATATTTATAGATAGTATTATATTATATTATATTATGTTATATTTATTATATTATATTATATTATATTATATTATATTACATTACATTATATGATATTACATTACATTACATTATATTACATTACATTACATTACATTATATATATTATTTATATTATATTATATTATATTATATTATATATATTATTTATATTATATTATATTATATTATATTATATTATATTATATTATATATTATGTTTAAGTACCTACTAAACTAACCACAAATTTACATTTTGTATGCATGTCATTTAAGGCTAATACAGGTTAAGAAGTAGATAGACTTCTTTTCCTCTTCAGTTTTGCATTTAGCCAAATCTTTTGCAGTTGTGGAAAAGAACCACTTTCAAATATAGAAAATTATCTCAAAATAATGGAGTTATGACTAATTATTAAAGAGATACTTTTCCTATTGTTATTATATATATACTACCCTGATAACTGGAAAAGATAGCCTTCTTTGAAGTCAGGCTTCTATAACTGTGCAAGCAATCCATGTAGTATATAGAGATAATCAAGGGAAAAAAAATCAAACTACTTTATCAAATTTTACATTCAATTTCTTAACCTAAAACTAAGAGGGAAAGAGGGATTATCAAAATACTTCAAGTTTTGTATCAGCTGATACTTCAAAGTTTTGTATTGAAACAATCAGATTTAAAACCATACCATTTGTAATCTGTGTGATACAATTCAAAGCTTAAAAGTATGAAGGATTCTTCCATGCTTGATCAATTTGAAAAGTACTTTTTAGGATAACAGACAGCAAAAACATAAAAAGAAAAGTTAATTGTGACAACTAACTGCACCCATTTTTAAAGTTATTCCTGATATTACCATTTACATACACTTCAGAGAGATTAGTGGTTTTACTTGCTTTTCTCATGTGTGATCTAATTGCTTTTGCATAGAAGACTGAACCAAACAAGTGAAAAGACACTGCAGGGATCAGATAAAATCTGATTCTTGCCAGATCCCCTGGACACATCACCAGTAATGAATTGTGGACTTTGTAAAGATTAAAATAATCTGAACTATCAAAAGCAAATGAGACATACAGTTTAATGGAATACCCAGTTGCATATTTAATGCTCTTCCATCTACTTCCTTACAGCATATAAAGCAGCTTTTGAAAAATCCCTGCCTACAGCAGGACTGCAGATCAGCTCTTTTCAGACACTGGTTTTCAGGAGAGCACTTGAGCTATTAAATGGCTTTCTAGACCAGACCCTGATCTTTCTTTGTCTCGGAGTATCCTTTTAAAGCAGCTCCACATCCCCTGGAGTGCCTGGTATGAGCAGCTGAACAGAGCAAAGAAAGCTGATCCTGCCACTCAGTCATCAGAATGCAGCTGTTCATTCTGTGCTGCAGGAGAAAGGATTTTTGATATGGAACCTCCTCCTGCTCTGGCCATACCCCTAAAGGGAGGATGCAGAACAGGCACCCATGCCCCTGGAGCTGCCAGCACTGGCACACCACCAGTGGCACATGGGAAGGTCTAGCTTAGGGCCAACACCTTCTCTTGAGCTCATTTCTTATAAATGCCATCTCACTCTTCCCACCAGCTTCTCTCTACTGCAAAGTGGGCCCCTGTGCAGTGATAAGAACAAATCCAGAAGCAGGGGAGGAGAAAGCAGAAGAGAAACAGTGCCAGCACACTACATCCAACAGGGAACAGCAGCACACACAGACAAGCACCAGTAAATTACAGCACACATGTACACACAAATGGTGTCAAAAGAGCACATAAGGTTTGCTACCACCTTCACCTACAGCTATAACAGGATGTGTTTTGACAATTTATTTTGGTTTACAGGGTTTTCTATAACTTGCATGCCTATACAGACTTTCAGAATCAGTGATCTGTCACAGCTCTTCCACCCTTATGTACACACAGGCACAAATGTGTGTGGTTTCATCATCTTGTTGTTATACAGAATTTTAATGATGCTTTTTTATTTCTGCCTGAAAATCAAGCACCATACTGAAGTCAAGATTCAAAAGCCTTTAGCAGAGCTGTGCCAATTCACATCAGGTGAGTTGACCCTTCAGTGCTCAGAAATGGAAAAGCAGCTGATCTTCCACAAATATTTTGGCAGAAGTAACTGTGAGGAAAGGAACCTGAACCATTTTTGACACTCAGGTGACAGCAAGACTCAAGAAATAAATTATATAAATTATGACCCTGCTTACAACAGCAGTTTTTCTGTGTACAGGAATTGCTCCTCACTGCCTGGTTTCTCCTTCCCTTTTCCATCCAACTCTTTCAGTACTGCTACACATCTGTCATGTTTTACATCCAGGCACAAAAAAGAACAGGGAAGGATGCTGGGGGTGAAAGTGAGGGACTGGGAAATACAGCTGAGTGGCAAGAAAATGAAAAGAGAAAAAAAAATATTAAGTGCTCCTAAAACAGAGGTTCTTACAAGCGGGGGTTCTTGTAGTAAAGGGAGTCTCCTTACTGTCATCTAAAAAGTCTTCTTCCTCATCCTCCTTTCTCAGGCGCCTCTTGGTCTCCTCATCATAAATGAGGCCAAGCAGGTTGGCAGGACTCTCGCTCTCAGCATGGCACAGCTCATTGAGGCGGACACCAATCGCCTGCAGATGGGGAAAGAGAAGCACAGGAGGTGAGAATTTCAGCCCAACCAGAATGCCCTGGCTTTCCTTTAATTGTCTAAAGAGGAGAAAGGGATGACAGAAGACTAATTTCTATCAAAACTATAATTTATTTCTCCTTTTTTCAACAAAATCTTGCAGTGTCAAATTTCAGGATGAAAACTTTTAGTAAATTTAGTTAAACAATAAACCTCTCCAAACTGGCACATAACAGGCAGAAGGAGATTGGGCTGTTTTGTGGTGGGATTTATGTATTGATATGGTCAGCTTTATTTTGAGGTGACCTACAATGTGCTCCACTGAGAAGCATGTGGTTGTACAAGAACCTACGTTTAACCTACAAGAACCTGGGTCAGCAAGGCAGAACCTGATTTTTAAATTCCCATAAGCATTTGGATTTAATGTCTTCTTTTTTTTTTTGGGTGGGGGGAGGGTGAGGAGGATGGGAATCATGATGCTCAGGTGAGAAGCACAAAGCTCACTTCCAGAAAGATACCTGTAACCGGTCAAAGGAACTTCTCCCACTATTTTGACTTGTGAGAAATGACCTGTATACGTGTCAAATGTTCTGCAATTATATCCCGGGGGCTTTACAAGGAAATAGCAAGTGGCATTCACAGGGCCAGATAAGGCAATTGCCTCATTTCTGTACGGTAAGAGATCACAATCAAATAAAACTTGAAGGATTCAAGTACCAAACAAAAAGAGACAATTTTTTACGTGACCCATAGCAGCTCTGTAGAATTCCTTGCCAAAGAATTATAAGTGCTAACAGTCTGTATGGGTGCAAAGAGAAACTGAATTAAGTATGGCAAAGAGAAACCCACTGCTAAATATACAGCACCACACCTAGCTCAAGAAACCCTGGGCTAAATATATTTGCAAACAAGAAAAACAGAAAGTAGTATCACAGCCCACATTTTCCCTCTTCCTCAGCCATTCACATGTGTTGGGAAAAGGAAGAATGGGCCAAACAGATCCTTGGAGAGAACATGTCCTGGCAAAATGACTTCCCTTAAGAAAGGGATGATCCTGGAAGGTTGTGAAGTGCAAGCTGGAAGGGAAGGCTTCTGAGTCCCCATCTCACAAGGACTGAAATTCCGCACAGGATCCAATTACCTTTCTATTTTGCCATATTTTTTTTTAACGTAAGTAGAAGAGAAGCAAACACTCACATCTCCCCACTGGTAGAAGAGCTTAGCTGCATTCCACTGCAGCTTCTGGTTCCTTTTGTTGCCCACAATAGGGGAACGGCCACGGGACAGCCCCTTCTTAGTGATGTTCACATGGTGGCCCTTCATCCACTCGGGCCAGTTGCCGCGGTTGCAGCGATGAACGAAGCGCGCGCACTCCAGGAACAGGGCTGCTCGTGCCACCACAGGAGCTTCCTGAAATGTTTGGAAAAAGCCACTTTAAAAGCAAAGACACACTGGGAAAACTCCCCCAGCACCAGAGCATCCTGCACTTTGAAAACTTCTTTGCAAGCTTGCCAAGGAGTCACGCAGTAGGAGCAATCTCTCCGTTAAAAAGCTGACACCAGAGTCTCTCTGCGTAAGTCTTGAGCTACTAAAAGCAAGCTCATAAACACTGAACAGTCTTGCTCAGTCCAGAGCAGCATAAAGAAACACAATATGACCTTAGAAAGAACATTATACCCCTCTGTAATGTCCTCCTTCAGAAACCATCTAAGTGCAAAAGCAGAAGCATGCATCTAGCACTGTTACTGCACAAATAAATCGAGTTTTACTTTCACCTTTGCTGCTAAGGCTGCAAATATTACAGGAGCAAATGACACCATGGCCACACAAATCCTAGCATTTGTCACTTTAGGTTCTGCTTCTGAATCTTGGGAATGAAAGCATAAATGGAGGCTTGTTAAAACTAGGGAAAGCACTATTTTGCAGTTATAGTTAATATCTGTGGAAACAAAAATATATTACTCTGGTGTTAGTCAACAAAATTTCACTGGCCGAATTTCAATCACCTTAGCAAGTGCCAGGCAATTCAGTACTGAAATAACAACAGGCAGCTGAGTTTTTAAAGGACTGACTAGTTTCCAGAGTTAAATCCTCCTGTCCCTGGCTTGAAAGAATCACTTTAATGGGAGAAATTATACTGAGTGTATCTTAGTTTGTATTAAATCACCCAGCAGGACACATGTTAGATCACTAAGGAATGCTTCTGAAACTTTCTGAAATGTTCAAAAAATAGACACAGTAATTTTGTTTCCTAAATGGGCTTACTACCCTTTAGAATCAGGAGTAGTTTTTTCCCCAGCAGTCTAAACTGCCAAAATAACATCCTTACAGACATGAAAAGTGACTAAAAAGCAAATGGTTCTCTTAATTTCCATTCCATTTCCCCCTTTCTTCCTGCAATTTTCACAACCAAAACTCCTGCAATCAGCAGTTTGTAAAACTAAGAATACAACAATGCCTTACCAGCTGGCTTTAAAAGGCTCACTAACAGGGATTTCACAGAGCACAAACGTGTTTTAGTTTTACTTTTAGATGCTGACAGCTTAAATGAAATAATTTAAGCAGATCTACTTATAAAGAAGGTCTTATCAAATGTGGTCTATAAATACTAGACAGGCCCTGAGACCCTCTAAGATTGTCTGTTGAACATTATTAAGGAGAGTCTACATGAGTGTTTTAATCAAAAATTGAAAACAAATTGAAAGAAATTTTGGACCAATGGTCCTAAAGTTTGATTTAAGAAAAGATTGCCAAAACATCCATTTGCAGCTTTTGGTCACATTTTTACAAATGTTGGAGGGGGAAAAGTGGTTGTCTTGAATGGGAAGATTTTAGCTGCCATGATGTTCTGATGATGAAGGCAGAAAGCTGAATGCAGACACTCACTAACCAGAAACAAAACAATAGCTAGCACCTGGAAAAACATTACACACTATTCATTGGTCATATGCAATATGGAACACAGAATAGCTGAGGATTTTATTCTTTTATTCTCACAAAGAAAAACTTTAACCATGGAGACATACATGAAGAGATAAAGCCCCAGCCTCAGTCTACTATTGGCTTAGTTCACTAGCAGTAAAGTGAAAATTTCTTAATCCTGTAAAGGAATGTGCTGTAAGAACTATGAAAGCACGCAACTACCACAATTAAAGGAGGATATGTAGGGTGGGGGGCAAAAGGGAGGAGCAGGGTTAATTAAAAATCACTGTATTATTTAAAAATCACTGAACAAACCTCCTGTACTAAGGACTTTCTGAACATCATAGAGCGCAAGCTCCCTGTGGTTGCTTACCTGAGACTCTGAGAAACCTGAAGCAGCAGCAGCAAGAGAAAGATGAAGATGTGACAGAATGAACAGAGATGGATTCACACAACAGAGAAACACATCACAAATGGAGAGAAAATAATCAGGCAGGTGATGTGTAGCTGAAAAGAACACAAGTTACTGTGGTCACTGTCAAAACCTGACACAGCAGCAATACTCTCACAAGTCTGTCCATGCCCATGCAACTCTTCACAAGTCCACTTTTAAGATTAGACCTACTATTTGCACCTTGAAAATCGTTCTTTTACTTTATAAATTGACATAAATTCACCAGTTTGTTAACTATTCAAGTCATGCCATTGAATTTTTTCAACAGATAACATGATTTGTGCTAAAGAGCAAATGAACTGGGTGGAAGGAACCAAATACAGAATGGATTTGGAATTTCACAGCATTACATTACTGTGCATGTAAACCTGATTCTGCAGTTTTATGCCTACACAGAACTTATGTCCAGTTTGTTTTCAAGAACAGTGAATTTTACGACACTAATCAATCAGTGGTAATTTTCCTTGAGTCCCTTCTTAAAGCTCACATGGCACTTTGAGCAAAAATTCATTTTTGGCTCTGGTCTCTTCGAGACAGAAAAGAAAGGCATGTAATACCAACAATATAGTTCTAACAGATGCCAAAGTAAATCTGAGAACTCTCAAAAGGTGCTGACTGGGTAGCTCTGCTTTGTCTAAGCAAAAGTAAGTCTGGCATGAAAGTTGTCTTAGCAGGTATATGAAAACAGGTTGCAAGTAAATTATTAACCGGTATCTTGAAGAATTGCCTGTTTCAATTAGCTCAGACCTCTCTGACTACATCTACCAAACGGTCAAGTACAATCCCTGACACAGTTCCTTGTTTTTCTTCCCAGTCTTTCACACTAGGACCTGTTTGTAGCAATCTCTGACTTCCTTCCCAACCATAAGCACTTCTACAGAGAAATATTTCTGCCATGGAAACAGGGACATGGAGACATGGGACATACAGAGTCTGCCTGAGACCCAGGGTGACATGGAGTCAGGATACTGACAAGTATTCTTGCAGTTTACACTTTGCTTCTACTGTCCCAGTACTTAATAAGTCATCTTAAACAGAATCCTACCAGAAAATATATTGCACTTCAACCAGGATAAAATATTTACATCTCAGCAAATGAGCTCACACATCTTATTGGAGAAATGTAATGCTGACAGGTGTCACACACTGTTGTACTGGTCAAAGAAAAGCTGGTCATTTACAGCAGTTTAATTAAGATACTTTAGGTGAAATAGTAAACCAATCCTAGGCAGTGGTTTATTGGAACCCTCGACATGAACTTAAGCATGGACTGAAATATGCCAAAGTAAATCAATTTTACTACTGCAAAGTCTGGACTTAAGCTGGGGCCATAAAGATGAAGCTGTCTGCAATGTATCAATTATTACAGAATGTTTGCATATCCATATATTGATTGTAGTTTTAAAAATTTAGCCAAGTATGGATGCTGCTTCTAGGAAAATATATTAATTGAATAGCTACTAAACCTAAGGCAACACTCATTTGAATACATAAAAAATTATTAGCTCCATAAGGATGTATCATTTGTTTCACTGTTCTAATTTCTTTAAATAAGTGTGGCAAAACAGTACAAACACCCAGGCAGATCAAAGATCTCAAAGTTGTTGTAAGAATATAATTTTGCAAACCTTCATGAAAAAGCATGCTCAGAAAAATTATGGAAGAACTGAACCTGGAACTGTCATTTTTTAAAGGTTGCCTTAGCAACTAGGCTGGATAAAATGATTTAAGAAGCTTTTTATTTGCATCAGACCTGATTCAAACTATCACTTCAAAAGCCTGAAAACAGAAATGAAACCACCCAGAAATGCTTTCTTTTGAGTGTGCTCTAGTGACAGATAACGTGGGAACTTTCCATTGCCATTAACCAATGCAGTGAGATGACAGGCTGTCATCTTTTAAAATATACACTGCATGTGACTGCCTAACTTCTGTACATCTCCAATACTTTGTAGAAAAAAAATGCTAACTGAACAGGTACTTGAAGTTTCCCAAGGCTATAATTAAAGCAAGGCTTCCTTCATCTTTAGCTGAAGGCCTTCTAGAAATTCTAATACCAAAATTGTCTGCATTGTTCAGTGGAATGGAGAGACAGTTACATTTTAGTTTGCAAAAGTCAGCTCTGAAAGTCAGACATCTTCAAACAGTTCACTCTCACTGGCAGTTCCCAGCTGACTTCATGCATGGGCACAGAGTAAGCTGGTCTGTACTTAGGCATTTGGGAAATTTAAGAATTAAGTAATGGATTTACAGGCAATAGGGACATAATAGGGATTTACAGGCAATAGGGACAGCTCACTGCAACCCTGACTAGTAAGAGCCACCAGATGAGCTACTCTATCAGCCACTGCATTCACAGCTCCCATCCAGAGGAAGAACAATCTGTGGCAGGAAATGTGGGAAACAGTGAATGAGCTGCAAATGGATGAGGACCAATCCAAAGAGTAGAGCTAGGTGGGAACTGAAAACAACAGCAACTCCAGACCAACACTAATGCAGACATGCTTGAATCTGCAGACCAGGTAATGCGAGGTTAAGATGAAGATACAAAGGAGGAGTGCACATCCCTACAGCCATGGAACAGGCGATGCAGCAAGGATCAGGGCACAGTGCTCCCAGGACGGCAGAGTCCATGAGCCTGACACCTCCAGCAGCGAGCAAAAAAACCTGAATTTGAGCACAAATGGCACAGCAGTCACACAGGTGAGAGGTGGGGATGTGGGGAAAAAAGGGGTAGAGAGCGTGTGGATGCTCTGAGAGCAGTGGCTTTTAATCTTTTTTTCAGCTTGCACACAGGCAAACACTTATGGAAGTAGAAAAGCAGCATGCAGAGAAATTGCTAATATTTGGCTGGCTTTTCATAGCTGTGTTTGTCACACTCCTTGCTTGTCACATAAACACCTCACAGAGCCCCACTGGCTCACGAACCACAGGCTGAAGGCCACAGCTTTAGAAATGGGAAGGATTGTTAGAAAACACAACCACAAGGATAAGAAGGAAGGAGACACAGAATATCAGGAAGAAGGGATTGAATTGTGTCACTTCTTTGATTTGCACTGGAAAATCAGCAATATCCACATTTAAAAGCATGCACACTGATGTAATTTTTTTTCCCACTGACTGGCTCTGGTGACTAATAGTTCAGTGTTGCCTAATGTATTTCTAACTCTGCCAGAACTTGAGAGTGGTATTCCTGCACCTCTCCAAGCAGTTATCCAATCTTCAATCCTTATTCTGTAGATTGACAGCAGGAGCAGAAACAGAGCATCTGTGAGCAAAGTATGAAGACAGCAACGCAAGCTTTGCACTGGCAATAATGTAGTTATGAGGAGCCACGTAATAAAAAATGGATCCATTTTGTCTGCAAACTTGTCCACTCACAGATGCTAAAGCTCCAGCTAACTCCACCACCACCAGCTGGCATTGCTGTGATGCTTTCCATTCTTTGTGTGGGGGCGTGAGGAGCATTAGAACGATGGTGGACCGCCACAAATGCACATGCTCTCAGCAGGTAACAACAGACCAAGAATGACTTACAAGATCTAGAGCTGCTGCCAAAATGGAGGCATCAGGGATGGTGCCTGGCTCACAGCAGTTCAGCAGAAACTGAAAGCGCTTCATGCCTTGGCGGATGGCTCCCAGGTTCACAACATTCTTGGATTTTCCTCCTTCTTGTTTGGAGGTCAAGTGATCGTCAAAGCTATGGCAACCTGAAAAGGTAGAGAATACAGAGGGGATGCAGGGAGGGGTAGAGAGAAGGGGACACAGTCTCTCACCAGTAAAAAATGGGGAACAAAAATCTCGATGAGCACAGTCTTAGTGCAAATCCCTTTCTCTCCTTGTGTTATCTTGAAGATAACAGGTTTATTTTTACAATACTCATGACTTCCATGAAACAGATAGACAACTAGTCAGATTCTGGCATATCTTCCCGTATCCATTTCCACCATACCCAGTGTGGAAGCCCAGGACCTACTCCAACACAGATGAATTAGGATGTTGTCTTTCCTCCCCACCTCTTTAACACAGATATCTTGCTTACAGACTTTTCTTCCTTAATAATCTCCTACCTTACTTCTCTGTCACCTTTAAGTTTACTTTAAAGTGCAGCATGCCTAACCCTTACTCCTCAATTGGATCAATTTAGTCATGTATCATCTACTAGGACAGAAAAACCAGTAATGAATGTGTATGTGGGAATCAAGCACTGTCCTTTTTTCAGGCATACATCAGCAATTACCACAAGAGCAAAGAGAAAAGTGAGACTGGCCTCAACTCCCAGATTCTCATCATTCCAGCCTCTCTCCCTTGAAGGGTCTTTCTACACTTTGGGATGGAAAAGAGTTCCATTCAAAAATGAAGATGGCATCCCACTTCATGGACAATTGAATCTCTGCGTATAGAGTTCACATCATCAATCAGCTTAGCACTAAAAAATCCAAATTAGCACTTCTAGTGCAGAAGATCATTATGCAGTTGGTAGCCAGAGTTGAGAGAATGGTAGAAAGACAGAGATTAGAAATAAGGAAAGCTGTTTCAAGGCCAAAGTGTTTGGCCAAAAAAAGCATGGTCAGTTTCTGGGCTTTTTGTCTTTACCCACATTACTGTCCCTGTTTACATCTGAAAGTACAAAAGTTTACAGAACACTGAAGGATAAAGCACTGAAGAAGAGAACACTGAGTGGAGAATTCAAAATTGGTTTTAAACATAGATTATTTGAAAGACAAGAGTAAAAACATCAGCTCTACAGGACTTTTTTACTACTTCAGGAAAGAAGAATGGCTGGAACTCAAAGTTCTTTTGGGTGTGCACTCCCTAGAATTGCTTGGAAAGCATTTATGCACCACAAAAAAAGTCACAACAGAAAATGACAATGTAGATCTTCACTTTTCCCTTGAAGACAGAAGTATATCAAATTTCAAGAGACTTCTTTACACATTCCTTGTCTTTTTTTCTCTCCAGTGAAGCTGTACCTCGTTACCAGCAAACAAAAAGTTCCTGTGTTGGGAAAATGTTTTGTTTAAATGGATCAAACAAAGCAGAAGGAACAAGTAGAACACTTACAGATGCAAGTAGCCACAAGCATCCTTCCAAGTCCTTCTGTTTCCTTATAGCATTTACATCTATCTGAGCCTTCCTGCTATGACTGCCATAACTCTTAGTCATTTGAGGTACAAACAAATGTTTCCTATTCAGGCCCCTGTTAAGCCTGTGTGAGATAAAGAACAGAAATTTGCCTAAGGCATGTCCCTAACCCACACCATAAAGAGCTAGCAGAGCTTTTGTCCATCTGAGCTCAGTGGCATACATTTTGTGGAAGCTTTACAAGACAATTCTTCAGAGGCAGCTGGTGACTGTCCCTTGCTATGCTCATTCTGGAGTGGCCTTGCTGCGATCAGGGCAGCCCTCACTGACCTAATTCATGTCTCAGGCCTGCAGAAGATCTCCCCCAAAGAGCAGAGACCACTTCCTAACACAGGAGGACACAGAAGCTCCTGCCCCACAGTCGCTCCCTCTGTGACCATGAGCTCACCCTTCAGAGCAAGCTTGAGCTTGAGCCACCAACTTCTGTGGTCACAGCATCTTCAGTAAGTGCCCAAAGGCATGGGTCTCATGCAAATGCTCATGCCTATGTGCTTTGCTCTTGGCATGGGTAAAAAGATCATTAAAATAAATATTTTTACACATTAATATATATGTATGTATATATATATATATATGTATACATATGCACACATACAGATACACACACATATATGTATGCTTAAATACATATGTAACACAGAATTTCCAGTGGTCTACATGATAAATCATGATGAAGATTACAGTTCATAAATGATGTCACAAATTATTCTACATTTTATAATGTTTAATGCTATTTATTTCTCCCTTATCCACTTCCTCTTAAATTTGGTCTGCTGTTTAAAAAAACCCAAAAACACAAGAGGAAACACCACATGGAAAAAAACATGAGCAAAGTGATAGCATAACACTGTGAATTACAAAAATGAAAAGGCAGAGAGAGATTCCAATACACTGCTTTTGGGTCAGATCTTGAAGGATTTAACAGTACGCTCATCCGCCATTAAAAGGCTTTCTATTCTCTCCTCGTTAAGCACAAAAAAATTAATTATCTGTATGGAAGACAGAGAAGCACTGGATATTTGAAGGCTCAGTGTACTGCTGTTGTTCTACTGGGTTATAAACTGTCCCACCATGAACTGGCCTCACACTGATGTTGCCGTGCACGTGCAAGCACAGACACACACAGGGCAGACACAACTATTTTTACTAAAGTTTCTTGTCTTTCATTGAGTATCAGAGATCCTTGTGGGTAAAGTGACTCAACTTCCTTAAAATCACTCTTTGCCTTATAAACTTTTATTACTCTTGTATTAGCAAGAGGAAAAAACCAATTGTTTTCTGCAACAAAATATGAAGTTTATCTCACAAAAAGAGCTGAGACAGTCTGAGAAGTTCTCACTGCCCCTCGGCCGTTTTCAACCAGTGAGAGCTGGGAGGAAACATGGTGGAAGAATTTCATACCTACTTCAGCACAAAGCAGTGGATGAAGAAACTAATTCCTTCCATCCCTGGGGAATGCTACCAGACTACAACAAGGGGCTGAACTGATGCATTCTCACAAAGGAACAATACCTCTTATCTAGGAGCTAACTGAAAAGCACCACCGTGCACCAGTGGCAGACAATGACTAGATTACAGTGACAAAAAATGCTCATATTTTGCAAGTATCACTTGTCTTAAAAATGCCTTCCATGCATTACACTTCAGGCCTGGGACAGGTGATGGCAAAATGCACACAATGCAATGTCAAAGTGTAATGCCAGAAGAAAACCAAACGTAATGCCAGAAAACATAGCATATTGTAAAACTACAGAAACCATGCTAAAAAATAAAACTGACTCCTTTTTGTGCATTTTTGGGAATCTGGATGCGTTGTCTTAAAAAAAAAAATAACAGAGCTTCAAGATACAAGGTTATCTCCCTGACAAGAAGGATGTGCTTTGAGCTGATGACATGAGCATGTCAATGACTGCATGACATTTTAAAACAGATTATACCATCATCTTGTATTATTCATAGTCACTTTTCAGACATTGCTGACTTTGAATATACATAACAATTAAATACACTTCTGTGGAAAAGAAAAGGAGTGTTTTTATTATTATGTTGTGTGCTAAGAAAAAGGAACGGCATCCCTAACGAATGGTATGCAGAGACTAGACATGCAAACACAGAAGAAAAGAGATAATTACAAAAAGGTTTGTGTAGGGTTTTCCATTTCTGTGCTGATATTTGATAAAACTGTCAAATAGTTACAAATTGAAAAAACAAAACTAAACAAAAAAACTGATGGAATTGTTGCATTGGACAACTGAAGATTTACACACCTGATTTTGAACTGAATAAGTGCTTTGAAACAAGCATTCGTTTTTCAAGTGTATTGACCAAATTTAATTTGATTTTAAAAGCCCAAATGTTGTATTGTATATTTTATTTGGATAGTCTGATTTTTTTTAGGAAAAAAAAATTACCAGAGCTTTTTTTCTAAATCAAAATAAAAGAAAGAAGGAAGGGAAAGAAAACAGTTACAAAGACTAAAAAATCAGAGAGGGCTACAATGGAGACAAAAACCATGGTGAAAGCAGGAAAAAAAAAAAAAAAAAAAGGGTAAAGGGGTAAAATACAGAAATAAATATATTTTTAAAATGATTAAAAAAGAAAAGAAAATAAAAAAGGAGACGAGAACCCTGATTTCTAACCATCTTTTTCTTCTGTGTGATGAAGCTTGGATGGGTGTCTTCGGCAGGTGCGCCATTTACCAAGACGCTTGAAGAAATTCTCCTCTTCGTCCCGCCCGTTGTCCAGGCCTCCTCCCGGCCCCCCTCCTTCAGACAGCTTCACTGCGCTGGTAAACTTCACCTGTGCAGGGACAGAGGGGCTGCTCAGCCTGTGCCACAGCTGGACTTGGCCTCAGTGGTCAGGCACAAACATCTGCAGGGTCACCACAGTGACACAACTGCGTCTGCACAGATCTACATACACTGAAGCACTTCATCTTTTAAGCTTTCTGCTTAAAGGATTGATCTTTCTTGACAGGCTGTGAAAGGACAAAGAAGGAAGGAGAAGTGTGACCAAAAATTAAAGCTTGAGTGTGTTGACAGAGCCTGCACTTGCCTCTCAGTGCACCAGGGCAGACTGACCAGTACAGGTTAAGTTTAACCTAGTCTTCACCATGAGTTACAAAAGTTCGGTGTCAAATTCCCATGGCTTTACTCTGGAGACTTCTTGTTATCTGCGAAGTCCATACTGAGTAAAAATGTGCAGCTAAAACCAGCCAGACCCTGCCTTTTCAAACTCCCTGCAATGCAGCCTGACACATTTACCTTGGAGCTCTGCCTGATGAAGGAGAGACGGTCCACAGAGCTGATATCTAGGAGATCTTCCACTCCATCAGCCAGGCCAGAGAGGGAGGAGCGCTTCAGCCAATTCCCTGTTGCAGAACAATCCACTCAGTACAAATCTAAAAATTATTTCTAGAATTATTTCTATTTCTTAGCAATTGCAGTATATTTCTCCACAGTGGCCACACTAAGGCGTGGGAAAATGGGAGAAAAGCATAAGGTAACATTTTCATGTAACATGTATTAACTGGCAGGCAAGGCCAGGTCCTGGGAATTGGAACGGATATATTCTCTGTCTAACAAATGTTAATTTGGAATATCTCTCTTCTACAGACAGGAACAGTGCCTGTGAGATTACAGTACTAGCCTAATACTTTGGGAGGAAAGGTTTCAATAATCTATTTTGACCAAAATATCCCTTGGTATCATTGGCAAATTGCTTACATTTTCCTTTGCCTCAATCCCACATCTGTAAAATGGAGAGGAGCAGCAAATCACAGCTTCTTTTGAGAGAATATATGGGCAAAAAGGAACTGTGTTGCAGTATTTCTTAAGACAGCTACGTCTAGCTGAATTTCTCTGCACATGCAATATGTATAGAGAAGAGAAAGAGACATACATTTACCTATGGGAAGTTTGAGTTTCTTTCGAAGGGAAATCCGTCGGGAGCGAGAGCGGGAGCGCCTGTCTGTGGTGGTTCCGGAGTGAGCCGTGGTGCACTCGGATGTGTCCTGCTCGGACTGGCTACTGGTATCACTCGCTGCACTCTGTGACTTAAACATCTTCCTCCAGAAGTCCTTGCGTCCCAGATTGGCCCCTTGGATTTGCTCATCGCTGGAACAGAAAGTGTGCAAAGCATGGAGCGTGTATTTCAAAACTGTATTTCCAAACTGAAGTTTGGATGCTCAGGGAAATGAGAGCTCCTTTCTGCAGCCCCCTCCACCCCCCCCAACCTCTCTGTTACTTGAGGCTGTTTCATTTTGAACTCCAAATATACTGTTCTTAGTGAGGCATAAGCTTGACAACACACTCGATATTGTTCAAGACACAGAATAACCATCTTTTCTACCCTTAGGCACTTGTCCACTGTGGCAGAACATTGTCATCATCCCCTCCTCTACCACAGAAAGCTTATCTGCTCTGTCCAGCTGGTGCATATGGGTGAGATAACCCAGACCAGAGAGATGCCTGAAAGGGAGTTATCTCTGGTGCCAAAGAGGTGAGAGCCCCAGCTGACAATGAACATCCCTGACCTTGAGAGTGAGATGTAAAGGGATAAGCGAGGAATCATTAACTGAGAGACACTTTACAACTACAAAAGCTACACAAATTTTCATGGAAGCAGAAGTCACATACACACTCCCTGGAAATGTGTAGGGCTCCCTCCCCAAGCTTGGATGCATTTTCATGGTTACTTCTCCAGAAATTGAGAGCAAAAGATTTTTTCTGTATGCCCCATCAGAAACTGGATGGTAAGATACACTGAATCCTAATCTATACTATTTCTTCTCTAGTTGTAATATAGGTATCTTGTTATTATAGTGCACTGAATTGTTAATCACTAGTAGTGCTTCTTTTGTTTATCCTGTGTGGTAAGTAAACTTACTTAGTTAGACAGTTAAATTTGTGTCTATTAAATAAATGATTCATGTAATAGGCCTAATTGACCATTATTAAGAACCTGAGAAGTGAGAGCAATCTGGAGTACAGGTCACCCCTAAAAAGAGTTACTGCTAGAAATATGAGTCAAAGGCAGGACTTGTTTAAGCTCTCCTCTCCATTCATGTCATTCCAATTTTTAGTTTCTACATATGAAAGTAAACCACTTTCTTTATGTCAAAATGAACTACGTTTATAAGACCACATTAGTAATTTCTACAAGCATTTGTACCAGAAAGCTTTAGGACATCATGACAGCCATTTGTGAACCTGCTCATTAAGTACTGGAATTGGGACAAAATTTTTTACTATATTCTTGAGATGTCCCATGCCTATGGCAGGGCTCAGAGACAAAGAACTTGCCTGAATTCTCCAGAGCAGTAAAAGGCTTTGTTATCCTTGCTGTCTCAGACACAGTGAGACTTTGTGGGCTCAGGTAAGGCAGGAGAATATGTGATGTAGAGCTCTGGGCCCTTGTAGAAGCAATGTCTTCATGCAGTGCATCTCAAAGCTCATTAACAAGACAGACATGTATTCAGAGGAGTTAAATGACTTGCCCAAAATTACTGAGGGACCAGTGGCCATTTGTTGAATTTTCTAAAACTCTTGAGAGTATTGTTTAATTAATTGTAAATGGCAAAATTTCTTTGTACATAGATTTCAGTTGTACAATGCCAACAGCAGGTTGATTCCCTGTGCTGAAAAGGGAACTACAGCTCTCTTCAGAGACTGTGTGCCCAAGGCAGGACAGGAATGGGCTGGCTCTCACTGAAGCATTAATGACCCTTAGCAACAACTTGGAAGTAGAAAATTAATAAAATCATCACCCAAGAGCACAAACAAAGCTTGGAGAACAGTTGTGGTTAATTCTCTGAGGAATTAACATCCTATTCACTGCTATGGCAGTATGGAACACCAGTAACAAATCTACTGCACTGTCACTTGAAAATCTCTGCTGTTTCCCTGTCAAAACCAGGATGGCAGCAATAAAAAACAAGCATTACCTGGTTGTTTGCAGTAGCTCCAGTGTGGACACTCAACAGCTTGTTGTACCACCCAAACAGCCAAGTCTGCTATCCTGTCCACTTGTGCTAACCCCAGAAGGAAGCTGCTGGCACTAACACATTGAACTATTCAGTATTTACTTACTGCTCTGGAGTTTGCATTGGGCGGCTGGAGACGTAACTCCGGCATTCATCAGGGGCAGCTGAGGCCTGCCCTTTGTCAATGATGACACTTCCTGCCTCAGATCTGTACAGACAAGATAAATCATCAGCCAAAGGAAATGGGTGGCCCATCTCATGGTCATCACACAGAACTGGATAGGGAAACCTGCAAAGCAGCTTTGGAGATGTACCCTCTCGTTAGCAATTTACTGTCTTTATGTACATATTATTCCCAAAAAAGGCATCAGCTCTTAGCAGCAAAGCCAAGGTTTTCAGCAGGTTCTTCAACTTTCTTAATCCTTCTTCCCAACAATTTAGTATGACAAATTCATCAAAGCACCAGAGGAAATTTCTTTTTGGTAAAGAAGCATGTCAGTATTAGATTTCTTCTGGGACTTGTTTTACATACCAGGGTTTACCTGTCAGAAAAATAGGTACACATCCCAAAGGATGTGATGCATATTAAGAAGTACATCCACAGAGTGTTCTGCTTCTTAGTTCTTTTAACCTTTCCTTATCCCTGTGTTTCCATAGCACTGTTCTCTTATGCCTCTTATATGAGACTGCCAATGCTTTTCTCTGTAAATTTGTTGCAGTCTCAGACCATTACATTTTAAAGGAGGCTGCTGCCACAGCACAAGTCTGAACATCAAGAAGTGACATGCTATAAAGACAAAACAATCCCATGGACTTCCTACATTTGTGTTCAGCACAGATAGTCATGGAGTCATATGCAAGTCAGTCATTTACATTCTCCCTCCTGATACCCACCTTTTGCTGCCAGAAGGTTTTGGGTCTTGCTCTGCTTCCTCTGTCTTTTTTCCTGGTATTAACTTTTCAGCACTGTCCAGGAGGGCACTGAGCGCCACTCTCCGAAATACATTCCCATGAGCCTCCTTGATGAACTGGACCAGCTGTCGGATATCACAGTACAAGCCCTGAGTAGCAAGACACCATGAAAAAGAACAAATTCAGTCTGCAGTTCCTGAGGAAGCAGTGAGAGTCAACAGTTCCTGAGGTACTTCACCAGGCCATTACTTCTCCTCTGGCTGTTGTGTGATCTGCTCTTCAGGTATATGGTTTGTGGTTTTTGGCTGGAAACTCATAGTGCACTCAGAAGAAGCAGACAGGGAGGAGCGTTATTATGGAACATGATCTGCAGTGGGATACAGCAGATGGAGAGGTATCAGAGACTAAGAGTCCTGTGAAATGAGGGAGCTACAAAGATGACTTAAAGTTTGTTTTATACCACTCATCAAGACCACAAACTTAAAAGGCATGAAATATCTCAGATGCACATGACAGGATGCAGAGTACAAACAACTGCACATTTTTTTCAAAACCAGTGGGTGTCTTGGGATTTTTTATTTTTCATTATTTTAGAGCTTCACATCATATGAAGAGAGAGGAATGACTCACTCATTCCGCAGCCTACCTTCTGCACTCAAGGCCCATTTTAGTTCTGAACATTCATACACATCTGTGATGTGCAAATCACCTCTATATCTGAGGGCAAGGGGATGGAGGGAACAGTTTTACAGGGCTTGATTTTTGATCTGTGAGCTTTCTTGAAAGACCTTGAATTATTCTGAAAATTCCTAGCAAGGAGCAAAGGAAAACAAAACAAAACAAACCCAAAGAAACAAACAAACAAAAAAACCCACAAAAAACCCCACAAAAACAAACAAAAAACCCACAAAAAAACAAAACAAAACAAAGAAAAAACTAAAACCAAACCAAACAAAAAAAACCCAAACAAACAAAAACAACAAAAATAACCCAACAAGCTTATAATTTCACCCGTATCCTGATTAAGGCTTTTTCAAAAAGTAAGATATTGACCACAAGACTGACTTTAAAGAATGACAAAACAACAACAAATCTGCACACATGCTCTACATGCTGTATTCTCCATACAGGCACATATAACATTTTTACCCTTAGGGATAAGTTTCACCTTACACACTAAAATAGAGTCTAGAAAGATACACAGTTTATAAGAAAAATTTACACTTGGTGCTCCTAATCTAGGTCAAATAATGGGGCATGTTTTTCTGTATGCCAACAAACAAACTCTGATGAGAAACATAACTTTGATTGAACATTCCAAAGGAGGAATATCCATAAGAACTAGAGGATTTGGACCTTTGGTTTAAGGTGTTAGTGTGGTTTTCCTTCTCCTACTCCCCTCACCTCACAGAGCAGTACTGCCCCTTCAGCTGGCTTCAGTGTCTCTACACCTCTGCTGTAAGGATTCACGAATACAAGAATGTTTCTTGTTTGCTTCCATCAAAAATCCTGATTTCTGATGATAAAGCAGGTGGCCTGAGCCTAGCTGCTTGAGTACATCAGTTTGGAGGGAGAGCACTCATGTCATCCAGCCCACTGACTGCTCTGGGAAGACAGAATGTGCATAGCAAAAAGCAACACCTTCCTTTCCTCCACGTGTTCAGTAAATTGAACGTTTGTCTAAGCCTTGGGAAGATCTATTCAGTTGCTGTTCAGTAATTCACAAAGTCTGGCACCCATGGGCCATGTGGTTAACCAAGTGAACTGCCTTTGACTTTGCTGAAGGTTGATTCATGGCAGCTATGGCCCTAGAATCATAACTGATTTAATAAAATTAATCAATAACTGAGGTTGGAAATGACTGCTAACATCCTTGAATCCAACCAGATTCAAGATTCACAGAACTGTCAAGTCCACCAAAAAAACATGTCCCTGTTTCCATGTTCATGTATCTTTCAAATCCCTTCAGGGACAGTGATTTCACCACTCCCCTGAGCAGCCTGTTCTAATACCTGACCTCCCTTTTCAGTGAAGAAATTTTTCCTAATATCTAATGTAAACCTCCTCTGATGCATCCTGAGATCAATTCCTTTTGTCCTGTCACTTTTACCTGGGACAAGAGACTGACCCACACCTTGCTGCTAACTCCTGTCAGGAAGTTGTGGAGAGCAAGGTCCCCCCTGAACCTCCTTTTCTCCAGGCTAAGCAACCCTGTTTTCCTCAGCTGCTCCTCATAAGACATGTGCTCCAGACCCTTTCCCAGCCCCATTTTCCTTCTCTGGACATGCTGTAGCACTCCAGTGTCCTTCTTTAGTGAGTGGCCCAGAACAGACCCCAGATTCTGAGATGCAGCTTCACCAGTGCCCAGTACAGGGAGACAATCACTGCCCTGGACCTGCTGGCCACGCTATTGCTGATACAAACCAGAATTCATTGCTCTTCTTGCTCATTAATCCTTCCAGACTGTGCTACTTATCCACTTGGAACACCACAGAAGCTGCTTGAACAGAGAAGAAATTTTCTTTCAGACTGCCCAGCTTTTTTCCTGTCTGAGACCCCAGGTTCCAAGCCAGACATGCAAAAGGACATCACATTCGTATAATTTTTATAGGCTACATGGACCATCATTTGCTACATGGATTTGGATGAACTGAATGAATTGTTCACTGCAAAGTCTCACTCATGACACCCAAGTGAAAAAGTAAGTTTGTTAATGTGGCATCAAGTGCTTACCAGGTTTTCTGGGCTGTGGAGCTCATGTGTAGTGGATGCACAGCGAGTGATCAATGACTTGAACATGGCACTCACAATAATACCTTCTACACTTTGGGCTGTAGACTTGTTGTCCACTGTGCTGAAGTTATTCCCAAATCCAGCCTTATCTGTAAAATTCAAGTATAAGAAAGCCATCTTGTTGGGAGCAGTTCAAAAGAGAGAGTTTAAAGACAGATGTAAAGGGATTAGGGTACGTGAGACAAGGACACATCCCCACCTAATATCCTGTGCTCAGTTCTCACAATCCCACCCCACAAAAATATAGCAGAAGCAAAGGGTAAAACAAATGATAAGCATGAAAGCTTCCCAGAAATAGCTGTATTATGAAAAAGGATTGAAAATATCAGGACAATTCTAGCTTTGTTTAATGCACGTCTCTCATTTAGAGAAGTGCAGAATAAGGCTTAAAATTTGAAAAATAACTCCAGCTTTTCTAGTTACCATTCTAAGGGATAAGAGATGTTTGATTAAGCAGCAAAGTGACAACACCCATGAAATGAAAATCCTTTGAACTGTGGGAATGCTTTTCTTGGAAAGTACACAAGGACACCAAGCTTTCAGAAAGACTCAGAAAATAATTACACATTCACATGAATTTAAAAACCATCCCAGTTTCCTGAGATGAGAGAAAAGACTTGCAAGAGCTGCATGAGCTGCCATGCTCCAAAGAATAAGCCAGTCAATAATTGCTGAATACTTAGGGAAATGTCATGTGGAAATCTTCCTCATGAAAGATGGCTATGTAATGTTCTTTGATGCCATCTCTGAAATTTCTGACATCAAAGACTGTTTTTAATTAATTTTCATTAATTTTAATTAATTAGTCAGATTCCCCCCCAGGAGCTATTCCTCCTCTGTAAACAGTCATTCTTAACTGTTGTTTCATGCAGTGACCAAGCATAAATGTTTGATTGTTCTAATATAGCACATATTATAATATAATTTTCCTAATTTAAAAAAATCCTCAAACCTCCCTATATGCACACATGCATGCAGATTTATAACTGCAGGCACATCCATCTGTGTGTCCATATTCTTGCTCATTCAAGCCTTTCTTGCTGCTTACTCCCTCATCTGAGGCACCACAGAGGGTTTTAAAGCTCAGTTATATCTCCATTCAGAATAAACCGTGTATTAAACAGGCCATTCCACCTGGTGCCTTGTCGTGTCATGAAGCAGAAAACTTCCTGCCTGAGGTATCATTTAATGAAAATCTCTTCTGTGAAGAGCCACAGACAGGAGGTAGGATGAATCAAAGGGAGCCCTTCAATTTCAGGTGCTCTGCGTGCTCTGAGATCTCAGGGCAAGATCACTGGGTGGTCAAATCCAAAGTGGTCCAACTCCCTTGACCCCCACTGGCTAAGGATACAGTTTATATATTCTGAGAGCAGAAAATCACATTTTGTAGTTTGTAAAGGACAAGAATGTGGCTTCTTTCTGATGGCACAGTTTAAGAATACACAAGTGACAGGTTCTGCTGTCAGGTATACTTACTATCAGTGACTGGCTCCATGCAGAATCCTAGTAAAGCATGCAGGAAATCCACCACATTATTGAGAGAATCCTTGTTCACATAATCTCTCACCGTCTGCCGGAATTGCATCTTATCCAGTTTGTACAGTTTGGTGAGGCAGTTCTGGGCCTACAACAGTGTCCATCAAATCATATCACATCAAAGTACATGTTCAAGTTTTGCTAGCAAGAGCAAGGTAATTTTGCACTTAGCCAGTGCTCTGCTGTCTCTGAATGGTCCCATAACAAGACAGGTTCACCTCTGGAGCCAACAAGAATTTCAACACAAAAGAGAGTGCGCCGCTCTTTGAGGTGGTGATAAAGCCACTACCAGCTGTATCTCAAGTTCTCTTTTCCCCTGTCCAACCCCAAAGTAAATTCTCACTGGATGCAAATGAACTGGGAATGTACCACCTCTGTCAATGCTCAGTGCCTTGGTGGAACAGGTTTTTAGCCTTAGGCATCTGATTTTCACCCTCCAGCTCAGACCCAATCTACTGAATGCACCTATACCCAATGACCAATTTACATCATATGAAACACTAACTTTTTACTTAAAATTGTCAACTTCTTATCACAAAACTACCCATCCTACTGGGACCCCATGCAGCCTGGAGTTAAAAGAATCTAAAATATCATCTCTATAGGAAACATGAAGTCTGCTGTTATCTACAATAGGGTGCTTAATTTTCCAGTAAACTCAGACATGATTGTCCACGCAGTCAACACAAATGATGCATGCAAAGCAGTTTGGCCAGACAAACACACAGAAAATGCAGCAGACTCACACATGTAGGAAATTATTTTTCCTCAGTTCAATGGGCCTGATAAGAACCTTGGTTCCAAGAGACATATTCATTTATACTTCATGTTATGCATGGGTCTAAATGCTTTGCTGGCTCAGCTCCAACAGAAATTGTGATGAATATGGTACCTGCTCGACCAGTGCTCTATGCAGAACCTTTCTAGTGTTCCCACTGGGACTCTCTCACCCCATCTTGTCCAGCTGTGTGCACTCCTGCAGTACCTGGAAATCTAGCTAACACAAGAACGCTGCAAGGATACAGAGCAGCATATCCATCTCTGAGAAATCAATCTCAGAGCCCAGAACCTAATTATAGCTCTGTTGGCATGGCCCAAGCTAACTAAAGCCATGGAGAAGAATCTGGTTCACAGGCATCCCGTGGGATTAGTAAATTCTCATTATAGTCATGAAAAATGCTCCCTTCTGCAAGCACACGAGGTGAGGAGGAGGCATGCACTGAGAAGGCCTTTGAAAGGCCCCCATTTAACCAGGAGTTGGACCAATCTCAAACTCTTCTGGATTAAAGCTGATGTCTGGGCTACATTCTGGGCCCTTTCCAATGCCTTAACTGGGGCAGAACTCAGTTAAAAATTAGAAAATTAGAAAATCAGGAATCAACAGTGATGACCTACCATATCCTTCAAAAGGGCAAGAGTGAGCCTTTTACTTCCTTGCAGAACAGCAGAACAAATACAGTTCAAATACAGTGCACTCCAACTACCAGGAGCTGATGGAGCAGCCCAGCAGCAATCAATCCTAATCACCCTTAGGAAAGAATACCTACAACCTTAGACTTCTGGATTTACATAGGCACCCCAAGATAGCTGCACCTCTTGTAAATAGCATACTCTTGGGGTACTGTCCTGGGAAAAATTGCTAACACCAGCTCACCCATGGGATTTGCTCCCGTGTATCGTCCCAACCCATCCACTGGGGGGGTCAGAAGCACCCTGGGCCCCAGATGTGCTCTTAGAAAGCCCAGGGACTGGAAGGCAACACTACAGCTGAAAATCTGCTAACAGCTGGGCTGCAACACAGCCTGTGAGCTGGGGAAAAAGCAACACATTTACTGTCAATACAGGGAAAGCTACAGAGAGGGCAGGCAGCGATCTCAGCAGCTGATGTCGACAAGGGGGGACACTTTAATGAGCTTTAATTCTCTTACATTCTCCCGGAATACCTGGAGTCTCAGGCGATCTCCAGAGAGCCCTCGGTGTCCTTCTCCACAACCATAGGCACAGCCCAAGGACTTGACAATTTTGATCAGCATTGTGAGTGCCAGCCTATGGGTGCTGACAGATGGGCCTTCATCCTGAGGGTCACAGAGGGAAAGACGGTGTGTAACCCTGGCACAACCACTGGCATTTTGTTAGCATTTTACTTCTGACAAACTGCTTTCCATTTCTCATCTCAGGCACTCCATTACTGAGTTGTTATCCATGAAGGGTTCACTCCAATTATTTTTCAAGTTTAGAGACCAGACCCCTTAGAGCTCCCATCAAAAAGTTATGCTCTAAATGTGAAGTCCCTACACGCTGCTATGCGTATCATTCAGAACTTACTTCAAAAAATTATCCCTGAAAAACAGAGTTGGCTTGGCTGAGTAGAAAACCAAGCATCTTTTAAAAACATCTTAGATATTACACTACTATAAATTGCAACTTCAGAGGTCAGCAATATAGCATCTCTTGTCCAATTCTCATAGCAATACTGAAAAATGTATGACTTCTAGTAATCAAATAAAAGAAACTGTGTGCACACACTGGGTTCCATTTTTCCTTTACAAGTTATGAATAATAAACCTGAAAAAAAAAAAAATCATTGTGATCGAGGGTTTCAAACACTTTGTCAAGATATTGAAAATGTCCATGCCAGGCTCACAAACTCCATTTTTGGCAGCTGCTTCTCTGGAATAGTTACAGTGCTTGAATTGCTAATCATGTTTCCTCAGCAGAATCCCAAGTGAGCACCAGAGCAAGACAGAAGGGCAGCTGCATTCACATGCATGCTCAGTCTTAACAGACATTACAGTACATTTGGAATTGTACAAAGAGAGAAGGAAGACAAACCTTTTCTTGTTTTTTGTCATTCTTCTCATATGGCCCTCCTCCTCCTCCACCACCTCCATCACCTCCGCCACCCCCGCCTCCTCCACCACCTCCTTCTTCTTCTCCATCTCCAGCTCCACTAATTGGAGGTGGCCCAAAGCCACAAGCTGAACCAGAAGCAGCCCCTTTAAGCTGGAAGGATCCTTCACTTGGTCTCTTTTCAGGGGCCTCATTTTCTTTGTTGTCGCTCTTCCTCCGAACTTTCTCCACACAGGGCACCACGCCAAGCTGCAGTAAGCACTCCACGATGTTCAGTGCCACATCACAAATCCGGGAACTGATGTCGTGGTTCAGAACCAAGTAAACAGCCTTCAGGACCACCTGAGAGATTCAAACACCGTATTTAAAGCCAGAATTACTTTCCCTCCAAGTAATATTTAGTGCCTGGAAATTTTAGATTCCAGAAACTCATTACAGTACAAACTCTGAACAAATAATGCACAACCCTAAACACCAAAAGCCTACAATCTAGATGCCAGACAGGAATCCACAGGCTGAGCACTGTCAGGCTGAAAAGAAAACCATGAGATAACATCTGTGAGCCTGAGAACACTGCTACAGTGCACCAAGAGCTGGCAAATTGTTAAGGGGAAAGCAGAAAAAGTGAGGTTTAAGGTGCTAGAAGAAAGGTGCTACTCAGTATTATACTATTTTATAGGGAATTTGGTGCATGCCCCAGGAACACAGCCATTACGTAATACCACTTCAGATCCGATGTGTGCATTCCACATGCACATGCGCTCCTTGCAAGGAGTAACAGGAGTTGCAGTGTCTCAGAGGAGACTTTCAGGATATGCACAAATGTATCTGACTGACCTTTATATACTGCTGAGAGAAGTCATATAAACAGGTGGAGGAAAAGCCCATCAAACCCCTGCTCTCAATGGTACAGCTATATTGACAGAAGAGGGACCTGGCTTTCCTCATTCCTCGCCAATTACCGAGAGATCCAGCATGCCATTCTTGTGGACAAAGCTGTTGGTTCCATCAATGTGATCCGTGTCCTCCAAGCAGCTGTAATTGATGCAGGAGTCCGTCAGGCTGCGGGGGAGGTTGGCACATGCAAGTGGCTCGTGGGGCATCTCAGGGATGGGCACCTGGTTGCAGAGCTTCCTCATGTGCTCATTGAAGAAATCAGCGTACCCCACGTTGAACGAGGCCAGGGTAGTGTTGAAGGTTGCCACAGTGATGGTGGAGATCTGGGACCGCACTGCAGGGAGGAAAACAGCTGCCTGTAAATTCCTACCTCTGTAGTTATGGAATGGAGGATTGAGGCTGAGCCTGTCTAAAGCGAGCAGCTCTTAAATTGGCTCATAATTCCAAAAGAAAACACAAGTTCCTAATTCCTATCATGAGTACGGGCATCAACTCATTTCCTCTTTTAAGACAGTGTAAATTAGAACAACCCCAAGCTTGTTCTAGCAGTTCAGTTCTCTGGCAGCTTAAGCTGACCTCAGCTAAATGGGAAGTCAAGTAGTTCAGGCAACTCAGACATTCTAAATCTAATTCAAATGGAATTTTCTCCCTGCATTAATCCAGTGCCTCATCTTAAAAGCAGCAGTGCCCCTGCAAGACAAAGAGAAAGCATTCTGCAGCTGAAAGGCAGGGGTGAAAGTAGTGGAACTGCAGCACAAATTTGAAACAGCTTTCCGAGTCGCATCAGTTTGGAAAATTTCATCACACCAGTTGAAAAAAACAGTACCTGAGACAGTCTAAACCATCTCCAAAATGCATAGCTGTCTGATGAAAAAGGTACTGCAGTCTTAAACTCACAGTGTTCAGAGACAGGAACTTGGAATTGCTCAGGTTACCAAGCCGGCTGTAAGTGCAAATTTTTATCAGGGATGCCTCATGTTTTTAAAACTCATGCTGATTTCCAGGCAACAGTGTTAGTAATTTCCCACACCTAGTGCTTTTTAAACCTACCCTCTAGTGCAAAAAGATACTAGGTGCCCCCTAGGGCTGTTTAGACCACCAAGTGCCAGTTACCAGTTGCCAGTATAGTAACAGGGCTAGAGAATAACAAAGAACCTCTTCCTATGGCTATTAAATATATTCTAATTCATAAACTAATTGCATCTAATACATTTAATAAGCAATGGCTCTGGTTATATTATGCAAGCAGCAACTCACCAGAGTGGCAATCACATTTCCTGACAGCTTGTGCAGTCCTGCTAGCACTGAACTGGCATTGTTAATTAGGAGAAAAGTTCTAGGACCAACAGCAGTACCATGAACTAAGCCACAGTTTGGTCAATGATCAGGGCAGCAATTAGCTGCTTGTATCAGAGAATTTCTTTCTGGCAAGTGTGATTTTTAATGGCATTCACTGGAATTTGTATTGTGAAGATAACAATAAATATTGTATTAGGATATTTTGTTCCTGAGCTACCAAATTTGATCATTTTCCAAGGGCAGATTTCTTTTGTTTCACTGATTTTTTGCTTAGTTTATTTCAAAATGGATAACAAAAATCCATATTCAAATCCTACACAGAAACATAGAATAATTCAGGTTGAAAAAGACCTCTCAGATCATCAAGACCAACCATTTCCCTCTTCAGATCTACTTTAAAGCTCTTTCAGTGAGCCTTGACAACTCCTGTGCAAAGATCCTTGTCCCACTTCAGGTCAGGAGTAGCCTGTCTGTCACCAACAGACCTGGTGTCATGTAAACCAACCTGTGACCAAAACCCCCAAAATTCTGACAGTGTCATCAGGAGCAGAGCCAGGTGCTGATCTTCTGGCTCTTCCTGCTTTCCCTCATCATTTCCTACAACTGGAAGGCTACAAGAGAACACTATTTTTGCCCCTCTTACCTTAACCAGTCATCACAGACCCCTGAAGTCTCTCTTGATTACCCTGGGACTTGTAATTTCATTGCTACCTTCCAGAAAAATCAATAATAGATAACAGGAAGCTTTCTCTTCACATCTGTAATCTCCCCTTGCAGCACCCCACACCTATCATGCACCCAGGAAGGTGGGGCAACCACAGATGTGCCCACTGCACCAGGCAGGGACTTGTGTCATTGCCCCTGTCCCTTAAGGGCCTGTGTTCAGCCCAGGCAGAGACAAGAGAAGGATTCCTCCCTGTCACAAGTCACATCTATTGTCTCTGCCATTCCAGTCACACTGGTATTGCCATTTCTCCAGAGGCCTCCAAGACACTGGGCCCTCAGGAAGACTTCCAAGCCAGGCCTCTAACTGGAATGAGGAGAATTAAATAAAAAACCTTGTGATTTCCTGCAAAATCCAGCAGCTACTTACTGCATAGAGGTGTTAAATACCACAAATTTCCCCGTGAAACCACTAAAGATAGCAATACCAAGTTTCTGTTCACACTTTTGTGTTGTGCTAAGGCAAGAAAACCCCAAACCATGCCTCCTCCCTGCTGATGGCCGCCATTTTTTTTAACAACTGCACCAGATAAACACGAACGGTCTGAACCCCTCAAGAGATAGAGAATCAAAAAAGGAAAAAAAAAAAAAATCAATTAGTCACATACACATAGAAACAGCGACACTTCCTTCCACTTTTTTGGGGTTGATATTTCAGTGGAACATCTGTCCTGAATTTACCTTCTTTGACTGTGTTGTCTCCGTGGCTGTTTGAGGGGTCTGGCAGTTCAGAGACCAGCGTGTGATGGGAGTGCGAGTGCCTGGCGCTCAGTCCCTCCATCTCCGTCGCTGTGTCAGAGCTCCCCCTCCGGGTGAACTTTCCTAGGGCCATGAAAGAAATGGATATTCTGTTCAGTTGCCCGAGGGGTAACTGCTGGCCACAGCAGCTGAGGTTAAAAATCAAAGGGTTGGAGCCTGTAAAAATCAAGGCTTTTCAGCACACTGCGAGGCAGAACCGAATATTAATATTATGGTGGAATCCCTCAAGCAGGTTCAATGTCATAGATACCAAATGACCCAAACTCTCTGTATGATTCCACCCTTTGGGGCATGTTATAGGAATTTAGTTCCTTCTCCTCTTGCCCCTAAAAATAAGTATATTAGGATGAGGAGTGCTAAGGCAAAGGAAATCCTTCAAGAATACAAAAAAATACTGGTTAGTTAACTTAGAATCTTGAAGTAGCAAATTTTTTGGTTCACTGTACCTCTGCAATATCAAGACCATATAAGCCTCACTGAGAAAATATTCTATTTACATTGTATCCAATATGCACTCCAGGATAACTGTGAATAGAACTTTTTGGCATACTAATGACACTGTTAATGATCCTAATGACACTGCTGCTAATAATTGTCACGCTAATGATACTGCTGCCTCTCCAAAGATTTCTCTTTTAAAGAAGAGAATGCAATCATTCTTGGAATCTATTTGAAGCTGCACTTGTGCAATGCTTGCTACCACACAGGGAAGTGTATTCAAGTGGAACAGAGATCACTACAGGTTCCCACAGTATCTACAATTCCAGTAAATGGTAGTTTTCAGAGAAAAAGTGAACTGAAGCATAAGTCATTCAAGGTCTGCTGTGAGCAGTAACCAACAGATGTGTAATGCTGCAAACAGAACCAAGGACACAGGGTGACAAAAGGACTGGATGAAGAAACAGCCCCTGTTGTTCTGTGAACGTTCATAAGAGGAATGACACGGAACCTGGGGCAGAGACAGCAGTATCTCACCTAATATGGTGGTTTGCCATCCTCCTCTCTCCATGCCACGCCGGTCCTCCCCAATTCCAGAGAAGCTGCCGAAGGAGAAAGTGCTGCGGGTGGGGGAGACATCCAAGTGATCCTCGTGGAGGAGGAAGGGAACCCCCATCCGTCGCTGCCGCTTCTTCCCAGCGTGGTGGAATGGGATTGACCCTTTGCGCTCACGCTCCCGGTCCTCTTTGCGGCTCTTAAACTGCAGGAAGAGGAGCAGATAGAGGAGCAGTGAAGAAGCTTTGAGGCACGGAAAACAACCACTTGAGGGAATAAGGTAACACAGATCTATTTCCCAAGAGTAGCTTTCTACTCTGAGCATTTTATCTTGGCCATTTCCCACCGCAGAATCTAATTGCATGCTGGGGTCCTGTGAGCGTTTGAAGGATTTCAGTCTTTCCCTAGGCTGGGATGGATGCCCTTGGATAATTTTGTGACATTCTTTGACCTTGAGCATAGAATGGATGGAAACCCAGAGCTAAGATGAGGTAAAAAAAGTCAGAAGAACTCACTGTATTAGCTGGAAGTACAGTGAGCACTGCCTCTTAAAATTCAGCACTGTTTGAGTAGCTTCCTCTCATGCAGTTTCATCAGGACAATTACTTGAATAAAGACTTCAGTATTATGTTTGGGATGTGCATGTAAAAACCAATGTAATACCATACAAAATCAATTCCAATGAAAAGGGAAGATACTCTCACACATGGCATGAATATAATATATTTCAAGCAGACCTCGTGAATATATCATCCGAGCAGACCTTCAGCAGCTACTAAGGAAGACTCTGAGGTGCTGAAGCATAGGTAAATTAAAGAGCAGTTTTCTTTCACTCACCTTTTTGAAGATGTTCATGCCCAGGTCTGTGGAGAGATCTGGAACTGCTGGTCTACGCAAGTTGGTCAGTGAAACCTTGGAAAATGCCTCTGTGCTTAGTGATTTTTCTTCCTCGTTACATTTTATTGTAAGATCCTGCAGCTCCCAAAAGAAGACAAGCACAAGGAGAAATAGAGGATAATCAGCTTTAAAAAAGGAGCAACTTCCTAGAACTGTCATAGGAGCACTGTAGAGGAAAAAGACCTCCAACTCATTACACAAAAAAGTTTACACATTTAAAGAAAAATAAATGAACAAACAAAATTTAGAAAGATCCAGAATTATTTACTTTGTCTAACCTTTCAGTCACCAAAGCTAAAAAAGTACAGCACACTGTGGAAAGCCTCAGGCATTGCTGTCAGCCTGGTCTGGTGGCATGGGAGAACATGTTTGATTCTGATCCCAGGTATGACTCTGAGTAACTATTACTTTTTAAAAATTATTATTATTTATTATTATTATTTATTATTATTATATTATTATTATTATTATTATTTTTTGTTATGTCTTTGAGGTCTTGCTTTATGTTGATGACCAATCATAATGGCTACTCTTTGCAAAGCATTTCATTTAAGATCTATGGCCTTAATAACATACACATTTAAATACGTATTTTGGAACTAAACTGCAATAAGCAGCACTGTCCCTTCAAGAAACTTTGTTTTCAGAAAATTTATTTACTCACCAAGGAAATCTAAGACTTCTAAATTAGTAAATATCCTTTGCTTGTAATAACAGGCTGCCCCTTCCATCATTTTTCATATGAAACTTCCCCCTTCCTATATCACAGTGTACCACAACAACAAAAACCATGAGGGTCACTCACTCCAGGTGCAGCAGAGCTTTCTCAACTCACCCCTGCATCAAACAACACATGCTATACCTGCCTGCTGCAAGGAAGGAAATTGGCACAAACTCAGCTTCCAGCCATTTGCTCTCAATAAAGATCTGCCAATCTCCCATGAGATGTTTCTGTGGCTGACCCGACTGAATTCCCTCAGGGTGATTTTCTTCTGCCTAAATATCAGCTTGTTTCCAATGGAATGAGCTTTTTCTTTGCTGTCCCACCAGAAATATTCTGCTGAAAAAGTGGGTCATGTTAAAACACCTTTTTGCTTTCAGTGCAGAGATTGCCATGTGTCAGGGATAGACAAAGTGACCGCTGTGACAGGTTTAGATTCTGCCTAGCCAGACTGCAAATTGCAGTAAAGATAGCCAGCCAGCTTCTGTAGTACACAAGTGTGCAGTTTTATGCCCAAAAAGGTCCAGCAGAACCCCATGACAGTCTTTGTAGCTGAAGCCTAACACCAGTTAATGTTTGCAGTACCCAATATTGGAGATCACGTATTTTTCAGAGACTTTTCAGACTAATCAAAGACTACCCTTGAATCCTCTTAATTTTATCAGCACAAGAATGTAGGAGACACACAGCAGCAAGGCTCCTCTTCATCACTGTTTGTAGTACAGGTATTCTTATCAACCACTTTGCATAGATGACTAAAGATTCAGAGCAGGAGTCACACATAAAATCCAGTACACAGTAAACCAGGATTCAACCCTAGCCACCCTCAACATTGAGGCCAGCAAATACTCCATACAGCTTTTTTCTTAGCTTTTATAGCTCTCTGGCCTCTTCCGGCTGTAAAGCATGGTATGGATTTATTTTGGATTAAGTATCATTGTCTGTGGATTACTGAAGTGGTGTTTTAGTAGGTGGTTTATGATCACCAAAAGACAGAGTAGGGTGCTCTGAGACACAAGCCATGCAAACACAAGACACAGTCCCAGCTTCGAAATCTGCTCAGGGCAGGTATCAAGCAAACACCACTGGAGAAGCAAATTCCAGAATTGCTTTAAATCTACAGTGTGGTATATGATGCATTTTAATGAATCAATCCTGTCTAAGAGTGATTAAAAACACGGCAATTCTCTGCAGTAGACTACATGGCAGTTACCATAAGCGTAAGATTGATAAGACAGCAAAACAGTTTGGGTTTGGGGGCTGGTCCTCTAGGTTTTGTTGTTTCTATTGTCTTCCTCCTGCATGACTGTGTTGTACCAGCTCATTTGTACTTCTCTCAGCTCTCAGGAGACTGTTGTGGTGTGCAACAACACTGCCTTAAGAGCAACCTGTGCTTTTGGGGCCCGGAGCACACTGCTAAAAACAGGCTGAAAACTGACAAAGGGATGAGTCTTTGTGTGGGAGCTTTATTAAGCTTCAAATGGGGTCCAGGGATAAAAACAAGGCTAGGCTGAGGGTATAGGATTAAATACAGGGTGACAGGGGTGGAGCTGAGTGTCAGGGTCCAATCAGAACAAGGGAAAATGGTGCAAAGGCGTGGCTAGGGACTGGGGAACCAATAGGGTAATGGGGGTGGGGCAATGCAGCAAACTGAGGCCAATAGGAATCAGGGAAAGGGAAAACATTCTGGGGGTTAACCAAAAATGGCAGATGGGGCTGGAACAGGGATTGCATCAATTTGGTGAACCAATAGAACATCAGACCTTGAGAACTATTTACATGTGACAAAGGTCCATGGGAGGGTGGCTCTTCTCACCACAACCCTGAGGGGTGTCTCTCTTTTCCTGCTTTGGCCCCTCCAGGGTTGAGGCACCTGTACAACAAGCTTTTGGGTTTCCACAGGATGTCACGCTTGAGGCTCTTGGCTTTCCATCACCAGTGCAGTGAGCACTACAGCTGCATTGGTGCTATGATTAAGTTTTGTTTCTCTCTTCTACAAAGGAAGTGCAAGGCTGTAGCAGCTTGTGAATGTGTGAAGTTTCCATGTCCTGCACCTGCCCTAACAGTGAATTCACTGCATACAAGTGCCATACATGTTTCCTTTACCACGTGTAGCCCGGTCTGAAGCATGTTCACACCAAAGTCACTTTTCATAGGCAGAATATATTAATTTTATTCACACCCCATCCATCCCCCTTTTCCAACAAGGAGTGCCAGGACGCTGCACTGAGACTTTTCTTACTTTGCTATTCAGCTTACTAGGCAATACAGGGAGGATATTCCTCATGCCCTCTCAATCCCAGCTGCTTTAGCCCAGGCTTATATCTGAGATGTGATTTTACACACACAAGATCCAACAGCAAGTGTGAGAGTTTTGCTGAGGCTCAGGGAGGTGCAGGATCATCAGTTTATCAGTTATCCTGATAAACTGCAGAACAATATGTTGGTTTGCCACAAAAATCTACTGCTCCTTGATGTGGTTTGCAGGCAGATGTGGTTTTCTTTACTCAGTTTTTGCCTGCCACTTTATATCTCCCCTGCTGAAACACTGTACCAATGTTTTTGAGAAGTTCTTGATCAACCTTTGAGTAAAAATGATGGCACTATGTTAGGAATTTCAGATCTAGACAGAAAAATTGGACTTTAAGCATAACCCTGTGTCAGGTGAGCTTGTGAGGGCTCAGAATACAACCCCTTGTGTTAAGAAAGAAAAAATCCTAGCCTTTGTGAGGTGGCATTCTCTGCTCTGAGCTAGCAGAATGCCTTGTCTGATGAGACTTAATGTAAGAATAGCAGTAAAGTTCCTGCAGTTGGCAGGGATGAACCAGAGCCCAGCTGCTTCTGTGTGTTGCACAGGTTTCAGTCCTCAAAGTTGTAAAGAGGGGGGGCATGAGTTGAAAGTTTTGCTGCCTGGAAGACCATTTCACTTCCTCCATCACAGCTGTTCTGCTGTGATTGGGAACCCAGGAACAGGATTCTGTTTTGGTGAAGAATGGCAAAATTACACTGGGCTGACACAGAGGTTACCAAAAGCAATTAAACTCAGCCTTGTAGAGTCCTCACATTAACAGCTACCAAGTATCCAGTGGATTTGCCAAATGGAATTAACAAAAAAATCCTAGAGAAGTGCAATGGAATCTTCTGCAAAGCAGTCTTCTGCAAGCAAAACAGCCTAGAAAAGCAAGACATAGCCAAGTGTGTGAAAGGAAGTGTTTTTACAGCATAAAGGGAAGAACCAGGGCAACACTAGTGCAGCCAGTGCCTGTGTGAGACAACCTCATCCATACTGCCTCTGTAAAACACTGACTGCACTCCCTGTTGCACTGGGAGCCAAACTTGCTGAAATGCAAAACAAGCAGGTTGTTATGAGCAAGAGCAAAGGGACAGAACATGCATGGAAATAGTGAAACACATCAGCAGCAATGTATTTCAATTTTCCCTCCAGGTGATGATGTTGAGGAGGGTTTTTTGTACACACACAGCACAGGTAGATTTCTCCACACACAGGTAGATAAATATTGAATAGTAATTCTTATCACTGGCCTTAGTGGAGTTATGTCAAGCTTTTACAGGGATGAAACATGTTATAGAAATGATACTAAAGTGCAATACAATTTAAACAATCCTGCAGCTGCTGAGCCCTTAGAACCACAAGTAACCACCAACTCTCATAATAATGGTAAAAATATGTACAGATCCTGAGATCTAAAACCAACAGGAGTAATATTCATGTTGTTTATGCTTGTCTTCTAGATTTTGAATATCTGGGGTCTACTGGGCTAAAGATATTTCACCTTCCTTCCAGTCAAAATCTGTCAGAGCCCTGAAAGCAGCAATTTTAGGAAAAAAAACCAAGAGTTCTGAGATTTCCAACTCAAAAAAAAATATATTTGATAGCAAAATGATCGGGTCTTTTATTTGAGTGTGTCATAAAATCGGAAGGCAAAAATAGAATCTCTGCTAAATTTTGCTAGGAGGTTCCATCAACCAAGTAAATCAGCATTTGCTGCTAAAAGCCCACATGACAGGAGAAGAGGGCACAACATAAAAGCAAAACAAATCCACAAGGAGATAACTGAAACTACAACAACATTCCCTTTTTATCCCTGGAACAGGTGAGCAACACTAAATAAAAAAATATTTAAGCTCAAACACAAAGATCTTTACTGCACCATGGTCAGGAGCACAGGGGTCATTGTCCAGCAAACAGGGAGAAAGATTTGACACCTATTAGGACAGTTTCTCTACAGAGATTATTTTGGCAAATATAAAAACCATGTAATAAGAATAACAGCAGCAGAAGTAACAACATGGAGAGCTTTTGCTCACTGCCACAGTTTACCAAGTCTAATTCAGTATTTTAACACAAGTGTGAGTGTGCAGTCCTGTACTAAACACAGTTCCTTTTGAGGGAACTCCAACTTTTGAGTTCCTCCATTTGAGGGAGTACACCAGAGAAGCTCAGTGGGCCCTGACCATTACACTGTAATGCAAAGGCATTGGTAACCATTTCTTGTGGCAACTGCATTAGTACATTCCCACCTTAAAAACCAATGTTATCCCAGATCACCCTACATTAATTATCCCAAATCAAAGCTCCAGCTTTCAGCAGTCACCAGCTCTGACCCTCTGCATCAGATTCTGCCTTCAGAACACTCATGGTTCTCAGGGTCTTTTTCTGAATCGGTGCAAGTATCTGACCTCTGTGCAAGTGAGCCAATACCAAAGCTGTGCCTATCACTGCCTGTTCAGCAATCCCCTCCCAGCACCACCACAGGAGCAGTTCTTTCCTCACTGCTGGCAGCTGCTTACCTGGGTTTTGTGGGTGTTCACCAGAGAGGGAGCAGCAGCCACCATGGAGCTGCTGCGAGGCCTTGGCAAAGGGGTGATCTCGGGCTCGGGTGGCTTCTCTGGTTTTTCCTGCAGCATGTGCCTCAGCCTCTGCAGGTAGTACATCAGTGACCACTGCGTGCCTTCCTCGGACCAGTGGGGCTGCAGCAAGCAGCGCAGCACGGCCACGTCGAAGTACGTGGCGTAGCGAGACTTCTGGCATGGTGGAATCACCAAGGACACCCTGCTCCAAAAAGCAGGAGTAGAAATGTTAGTCATCAGATTCCTCATTCCTTTAGATCCTCGGCTCTCTGCATGAAGAACTGACTCTTTGGGACTAAGGAAACTGAGGAAAGCATTATTGAAGACACGTAACTGAATATTCAGCTTTCAGATCCCCAGAGGACTCCAGTACATGCTGTAAGGTGTTTTCTTGGATAGGGGTGCTTTCTCAAACTGTGATCTGAAGATAAACCTCCAGTACCTGTGCTAACTGAATAATTTGTTCAGCAGGAAACAAATGAGCATCCGATGTCCTGACACTAGTAATACATATTTAGGAATGGTTTTCATTTGCACATATCAGGCCTTACTCAAGAAAAAGTAGGCAGGGCAGCTAAGTTAGTTAACCATTTAAGCTAGATATAATAAATTTATATTTATTATATAAATGAAAGTTACTATTATGGGCATTCTTTGCTGAGGTGTTCTAGAGAAAAGCACCCTTTTAAGCCCTCATTGTAATTTTCTTGCCCTATTAATTTCCTGATGGATTTTAATATGGAGTTTCCTAAGTATTGGAGAAATTAGTGCACACAAAAGCAAGACATCTGTAGTGAGCTTCAAAAATGGGAATCTATAAAGTTCAGATTTCAAAATTTCAGATTTTTATGTCATTCATAGCCAATCTTTTTTTACAGTAAAATGCCCCAAAATTTTTATTCCTAATCTTTCATACCACTTTTCTCCCAGCAGAGTACAACTGGCCTGATCTACCCTCTGGACAGCCACTAGCTGTCAGGAGACAATCTGTCAGGAGACAATCTGTCAGAAAAGAAGCAAGTTTAAGGGACTCACAGGAATGAGAATCACATGGTAAGAGAAGGTGTGAAATTCTTTTTTTTTTTGTCTGCTGAATACACATTTTGAATGTTTCCACTCTATATCAGAAACACAGCTCTGTGATCTGATTATTTCTAGGATTTTGGGATTCTATAAAAATGAAGAGTTCTTTCATGCACTAGATTCTCAGGCATTTGAGAAGCATCACAAGAACATCGAGCTGGTCTTTCGGTTTTTGCTAGAAGCCATTTTTTATTATCAGCCCTGCAAAACAGCAGGCAAACAGTGTAGGCAGGTCATCCTCATATCCAGCTAGGTACCACCACTTTCTGAACAGATGGGTCCAAGGCCACAGTCCAGAAAAGCCTTGGGGAAGAGCAGCAAGTGGGACCAGTGGGACCTCTGAGCGCTTTGCTGGATCTCTGCCCTGTGCCTCCAAGAACTGGCAAATGAGGAAGAAGTGTGCACTGAACAGTGACACCAGTTGGAATCACATGAACCCTGCAGCATCTTACAGGTGTGGAAACAGGGTTGGAAGGCTGGGCTTGGATCAACACGTGGATCTAGAGCTCAAATTTGCAAGAGTTGGTTTGCTGCCAGCGCCACATGCCCATGCTGGAGGCACCTGGCGACTGCAGACCAGTCTATGTCAGCATGTGCCACACTATCCAAAATACACAGATTCAAAGTTTCTCCAATAGTGCTGTATTCCAGCTAGAAAGGCTGCAAGCTTGACAACTTTGAAATGAGCTGTTACAAAAACCTGAAAAACTGAGTTAGGAAAGGAAACAACGCAAAATGTTTATGAATGAAATGAATTAAACGAATGTGCTGTAACATTTTCCCCACAAACCTGACGTGAGGGGTGGTTTTGTCAAAGTTTAGGTTGTGTCACATAGATTTAGCCTGCAAAAACCCAGAAGTATACTCAAAGTACCCCAGCAAAGGAAACAAAACATGTCATGCCAGTAGCAGTTGTGAGAGGTTCTTTTTTTTTTGCTCCCTGGTCTGTGCACTCCTATCTGTGGCACTGGCAAACCTGAGGCATGACACAGGCTGGAGCAAGGCATGTTCTCCTTATAAAATATTCATAAATAAAGTCCCTCCTGCAAAGTCTATTTCCCCAGCAGCCTGTTCAATGTAGCAGCTGGGTAAAGGGCTGTGGTTTATCTGCTTCAGGATTAAAATGTATCATCCCTACAGGGAGAATCACACTGAGCGACACTTTGCTAGGATCACAACAAGCGATTTGTTTCAACAGTTTCTGAAGAACCAGAAATTAAACTCTGTAGTTCATTTAGAAGAAAATCTAGTGCTTGTATAATCAGCTCATGGTTGCCTGTGACTGCAGGGAAAGTGGAAATGCAGCCTTCTTTCAACCCTTGGCCAAGGACAAGGGAATACTTTGGCTGTTGGTAAGCAGAGTAAACAACATTTGTTCCACAGTTATCTGTTGCTTGGTAACCAAAGCTCCCTGTACAGTTTTAACTCATCAATGAGTTCTGCAAATGAGGAGGCATAATGATGCTCTCTTCAAAGCCTGTCTGAAGCTTCATCCCCATGGCAACCACCAGACCCTGCTTGACAAATTGATCACCTGATTCTGTCTTCTTAAGAGGCTGCTTATTTTTTTTACAGCTGTGCACTCTCTGAGCAGCAGTGTTCACACACAGAAAGGCAGCTCTGTCCCCACCTTCAGTTTTACTGGCTCACATTAATGCAAATTAAATACAGATCCAGAACTGACAACAGGCTTGATAAAAAATCCCAAGGGAAGCTTCCTGATAGTATGAGAGCCTCAACAAATAGCTTTTTCCTTTGCATCAGTGAAAGGATCCCCTGAGTTCCCATCTGAGAGATCAGAGCTGTCCCTAGCTGATATCCAGAAAATCACTCTATCCTGTAATTCTGTCACTGTAATGACACCATTTCTTAAGACTGGAGTGTTTTGGATATGACATTTCTCGAAAGAGATAAGCAACAGGGCCAGAGTTTTCAGGTGTTTAAGTGGCACTCCTAAATCCATAGAGATGTAAAATTTTAGCCCTCCCTCTCCAAAATATCTGAAAATACTCATCAGCTTGATTTACTCAATGGCACTACTGAGCATCCAGCACTACTGGAAATTCAGTTCTGCCTTTATGTGCCCAAATCTAGATGAATTCATTAGTGCCAAGCTGGAAACCACAGCCTGAGCCACAAGCTGGACACAGTTGCACAGCTGTGCTTCTTGGTTAGTCTGTTCCTACTTTTTTGGGTCAGTAGTCTAAAGCCAGCTTTGCAGCAGGATGCAAAGGAGGCGTAATGAAGGCAATGGAGAGAGGTTTGCAGAAGTTCTTTGCTTGGGGGAAAGAAAATCTGGTCAGAAGGAAACCAGATAATATACCAGTTGCCTGAAGCTGAATCTAGCCTAGCAGGGGTGAACCTGAAGGTTATTTTTTGTGTCTTTAATGACCAGAAATCAACATCCTAGGAAAGACCAAAGAAATTATCCCAACAGGCCAGCTAGAGATTTCTCTGAAGAAAGCAGCATTGAGTAACAAGTGCTGCCATCTTTTTCATCACCCAGAACTGCAATTTGTTGAATTAAGAATTTGGTACAAACATCCAGCACCCTCAGCATGTCCAGACAAAAGTGGGTTCAAGATGGATTTGTGTGATCTCCACCACTGAATCACAGAAGCCCAAGTTTCACCTGAAGGTCTTTGTACCTGGGATGTGCAGTACTTCTCTCCTGGGAGGTTTGGGAGGATACACTTCCATCCAAGGAGTTTCCAGGATGACATGCTGAAACAGAAGCCTTTGGAGGTACAGGATCTGGCTGTGCTGTCTCACAGACCACCTGCAGTCCCTTCAGATAGTTGTAAAAAAGAAAATAGGTATATAAACATATTTATCTTTCCCATGTGAGTTTTATAGCTGCAATTTGAGCTCAGACATGACCTTACTTACACCATAATACCATGGAAAAACATCAAGCCTGGGGCTTCTCAATACGAGGCATTGTACAGGCAAAGGATATACTGTACATTGTACAGGTCTCTCACCCAGGAGAATGATTTGGGATGGAAGGGACCTTAAAATCAAACTCCAACCCTCCTGCCATAAACAAGGTCAGGCTTCCATCCTGTAAGACAGGTTAAGGCCAAGGAGATCCAGATAGATACACCCCATACCCTTTGGTTCCACTGCAAACAAGGTTGGGAGCCTTAGCTGTGAAGAGCTGTGAATAACTGTGATTTCTGGAGATGGAATACTTTAGGGTGGTATACTATTTATCCCCCCCTCCCTCAGCACCTTATTCAAGTTTGTCAAATCTTAGTGTAGAATTTACCTCAGTACGTCCGCTGTCCAGATTAGGGGATTCACAAGTCATGCTCTGATTATTGGTGGGAGAACTTCTCTTGGCTGAGAAAAGAAGTCAAAGCAGGACATTTCAGGAAATGCCTCCTACACTATAATGTACCTGTTATAAAGTATTATAATAAAAGAATAATCCACAAAACAAAACCAGCATCTATCTGCTGCAAGCTTCCTAGGCATTAGTCACAGCCATAAAAAGAAAACAGGACTGGGTTAATTTTTTTCAGTTCTTTCCATTGTCAACAGCACTGTCTACTGAAAATCTGTATTTCTTTAAAATTAAATTTGAATATAAATTTCATCCTAAATCCATTCACCATCAATTGTGCTTTCCTGTGCAGAGTAGTGCCTTTTACTTTGGAGCTCTTCATCCTATCTGTACATATTTTCAGGTGCTTTTCTAGGTTAGATCACTCAAAGTGTATCGTGATTTCCAACTGGCCAAACGCCTTCAGAACAGGAAATACATGGATGTCACACAGAAAGTTTGATCTGTAATACTGTAGAACACCAAGGGTATCACACAGACTAGGATGACAAGTCTTGAAAACCTGTTGAAATATCCTGTGCAGATGTGACTTTGAATCAGACTGACTGCAAAACAAATATTGCAAAGCAGCTTCATTAGATTTTTTATTCGTTGTTTGAATGAAAACTTAAATAGATTTTACTTTCTTTTTTCCCAGTTTGAGAAAATGCTAAGATAGCAGCATCTCCCTAGACATAAAAGACCTTATTCCAGTTAGTATTTCTGTCCTGCTGAAATACTTCCTCGCTGTTGTGAGATACTGTCTTCACCCTTCTTAGGAACTAAGGAAGATAAGGCTAACAGAAATTATATGAGGCTGACAGAAATGATAACTCTACTGAAAAGTTACTAATTTCCTATTTGTGCTGGTTCTCCCATCTCCTATTTAATTATTGTGCAAATGTCAGTTGACTCTCAGGGGAAACAACCTTAAACTACTCTAAAGTTTGACTAGTTCCTGCAGGACCAACATATTTCTTCATGTACGAGGGCTACAGAACGTAAGGGCAGCATCAGGCAGACAAAGGTGAAGGTTCCCCCAGATCTCAGGATCTACATTACCACAGCAAAGTCACAGACCTGTAATGATGTTCCTGATGGGTTTTACAAGAGCATTGAAGGCAGAAACTTCAGGCTGCCTGTGTTCCCACATTGGCTGCCAAATAACAAGGCCACTAGCCAACCGGAATGTCAGGTCAGACTCCTTCAAAAGAAAAATACAATGTTGTATCCAGTCCACCAAACATTTCTCTGGTACACAGATCTTACAAGAAATAAGTGATACCATGTGCAGTTGTCCAGTCAGTACATGCTAACTCAAGGGCTACTGACAATACTCAACAGGCTCTATACATGTCAACTATGGCTAGTAAAACATCACAGGGAAATTTCAGTCCAAAAATATCCAAAGATTTTTTTCAAATGAAATTTCTATTCTAGTCAATGAACTCTATTTTTTTTCCAGGACATTGAGCTGTAATAGAAAAGGCCATTCCTGTCACAAAGTATCCCTTTTTCTTGTACATAACCACTTTATGTTTAGCATTCAAGCTCAACTTTAGGATTTACACTCTAAGACTTGAACTTCTTCCCCAAAAGAATAAGAACACTAAATATTAAAGCATTACTGAGAAACTGAGGAAACATTTAACAGATTACTATGAAGCAGTGGTATACATCACTGTTATCATCAGCCTTGTTAGTACCTCAACTCTGTCAATACACAGAGACACTGGTACTACTTGCACTTGTGCTATTGCTGTTTTACATATACAATCAGCTGAAATCACATAAATTAGTACATTAAATTAATTATAAAATAATTATTAATAATTAATGAATCATATAAATTAGTGTACAAGTAAACCTTTGCAGGATCAAGGTCCATTTACTTGACCAAATGTCAGACCTACATTAAGAGACATTGATGTTCCCATATAGCAAACAAACATGGTAACAGCAGTTTTTGGTGATGTATATATAACATATCATATATTATATATTATATATTATTAGTGTTGTTATAATATATAACAACACCCTCCTATTGAGAAATCCCCAGGTGCCTTGGCAGCTGGAATGGATGATGGAGACAGAGCTAAAGGAATGGCAGGAACCGACTTGTGGTTCCTTGTCAGCTCTGCAGCCCTTCTATTCCCCACCCTCTGTTAGTGCTCTCTCATCATTATCAACTCACAAGCTTGGCTTAAACTAAGCTTGCTTTTAATTACTGATTTTGCTAATAGCAGCTTGCAAGGCTTTTAGACCTGGTAGCAGCGACGTTGTGTTTTCGCGTTGCACTGCTCGCTTGTGGTGACGTGCTAACACTCCTGCCTACAGTTATGCACTTAAAGAATTACATGCATCCCTCAAAGCCTGATTTAAATACAATTTTCTCAAGACACAAATCCTCCCAGCAGTTGGGAATTCAATAATTTAGGCCTGTCTATGCAAACATGTGTCATCTTCCTTGAGCCCATGGATTATTTTGGCTATCTGATCAGGTAGTAGTCTTCCCCTGAGACTTACAAGACATTGAGAGGACAAAGCTCACTTAGTGAACCATTCACATACCTCATTTATCTCCTTTCCTGCACTACATTTTGATGACAGAAATGTGCATGTTTTAATTGGCTTTTCAATGTTCATCACCACGGTACTCCAGAGATCTCAGAGATTATCAAGGTAAACTTGAGATACTGCTTTAACCTCATCTTGAAAACAACATACCAGAAAGATTAACATAAAAGATTGGAACTCCAATCTTTAATAGCCAAGGTCTACCCCCAGTTTATTCAAATGGCAGCCTGCATTTTTCTGTGTAGCACTGGGAAGAATTCAGTATTTCTTCTTGTCCTGTCCCAGTAATCTACAAAGAACTAGTAAGCAAGTATAAAAAATTTGGGCTAAATAAATTAAACACTACTGTACAGGGACTCAGTAGCAGAAGTAGAGAAAGAATCTGGTTCTCCAGTCTTGCTTTTACCTGCCTTAATCAAAAGATTATTCTTTATCTCCTGTTCCTTCCTACCTTCTTCAATTGTTGCAGCATAGAAGGCAGGATTAGAACAGATAGCCCCATCACTCCATGACTTTATAGTCCTTTATTCAAGGACCTACTCTTTTTTGAGGCTTAGATGGAAACATAAGGGCTAAATGGCAGCCTCCCAGAGGCAGGAGTCAGAGCATGAGGAAAATGCCTTTTCATCACATCACTCTGCAAAGCTGATGCACTCAGCATAAAATTAACAGAGGAACCCCAGTAGACAGGAGGCCTGCAGCCTGCTTCACAACAAAGGAATGCTCCATTGCCTTTGCCACTGCCATGTTTAAAACACCATCCTGCTAATTAGCATCCAAGATGACTAGTAATGACAACAACAAATCCCAGTGGCAGCCCCGTGGTGGAATCCCTGAAAATCTAGCAAGGCTTTTCTGAGCAGGGTTAATAATCAGTGGAGCAAGTTAAAGCTCATAATCCTTTCTGCAGTTTTCAGGATCCCAGAGACTTCACAGGGGCCACAGATCTATGCCATTCCCAAAGGCTAAAAATGGCTCACTTTGTATTTTTTTGTCTTTGTGCCTGCTGGATGCTGTGGCAATTGTTCACATCACTGGGAGGATTTCTTCCCAGTGGCAGCAGCATTCTGCCAGCTTGGTAAAATATTTCCAGCAGTACCCCAGTGTGCACTGTAAGCTGAATTAAATTACAGTCACAAAGGCAGAATCATTCCTTTCCTGCTCAGAACTGTCTCCACACAAGAACCCCACCGGTGCACCACTTACCCTAATCCTGTGGACGAGGGGAGCGAAGAGGAACACAAATAGCTCTACTGTGGCCATGGAATTCTGGAAGAACTTCCTTCTGTTATTCTCCTCCTCATCAGCCATGGCGCTGGGCCGGGGATGTCCTGGTGATCCTTGGTTTTCAGCCTGGTGGATAAAGGCACTACTGCTCCCTCCCCAGCTAGAGCCTCTGTCTCCTCCAAGCCTGTCATTGCTGCAGTCCTGAGGAGCCTCCAGCAGCATCCAGTGAAGGGTGTGAAGGAGCTTTGTTTCAGCTACTCCAAGCTTATCCTGATGTCCTGCATGGAACAACACATCACAGCATCTCACAGGGTTTCCATCAATGTTACTGTTGAGATTGTTTCAGAGTTGCACTGGAGGCTGGGCACACATCTCCCACATAAGCATTTAAAAATTAAAATTCTACCATTTTAAAGCACCAGCATTCTGTCTCTTTCCATTTGAAACCCCCTATATCAGAAGCCTCCATTTATTTCCCAGCATTTGGAGTTCAGTCTCTGCAGTGTCAGCTGCAGGGCATGGACAGCAGCATGGACACAGAGTGGTCCCAAAAGGAACTAACTCAACAGTCTTGTCTGTTTGACTTTGTTGAACAGGAGAAAATGCCAGTGAGCACTGCAAGGTGCTCAAGCTCTCTTCCTAATGTTCCCTACTGGCAGGTCTCAGGAAGCAAATTCCTGCTGAAATCACCGCTGCAATCGGTGCAAAAGTAAATAAAGTAAGTTGGATTTGGATCTGCCTCTCTATTGTCTGATTGACTTTCTGCTGACAGTCACATGCATTGGTCGAAATAAAAAGAAAAAACAGGAAGAGAAAACCCCAAAAACTGAAGTTATTAAAAGTACCTGCTGCAACTGACCACTGCAGCATGCCTTGTAAGAAATACATATTCCTTCAAGGAATCCATGCCTGCTGGCTACTAAAGTTCTATTACAGCTGGGAAATAACTAGCAAAAAATGTTATTGAACTACTCTGACTCCTTAGCCCATCAGACCACTAACTTCACTGGGGAAGATTTCACAGGTCACCCTTCTATAAATGAGAAGGACAATCATCAAGCAAGGCAAGCCCCAGAAGAAAGTAATTAGGATTTTAAGGATTTAGAATTTGTTGTCACCCTGAGCAGCAATCTGTCATATTTTAACTGATAGCTTCAATAATGGAAAACAACCTCAGATGAGCACTAACCTAGCTTATTCCTGTTGGAGAGCAGTGTTGCAGTGCAGTGCAGCACATGAGGGAGCGCAGCTTGGACAAGTTCCCAGCGAGAAATGCTCTGGATGGCTTCAGAGAGAGCTGGAGAAAGGCCATGAAGCTTGTTTTCTACCAAAACTCTTTCAAAAGACTAAAAGTAAAAAGAAAAAAGGCATGGTGTCTATTTCTGCGCATTCCTTCCAGTACATGAACATCCTCTTTTTAAAACCTCTAAGCTCTAATTGTATAAATGAAGCAAATTTTATAATATTTGTCCTGAAAAATAGAGACTGTAGCTAAAGCCCACCAGACATATGGACATACTTAAATAAGAAGTGAATGAACCACACAATGTATTTTCTGCAATATAAGAGAATTGAAGCAAGTATCATGTGTGTATTACTAAGTGCTGACACCAAGCCAGACTTGCAGCTGTGCTGGATAAAGCCAGTAATCCTGACTTACAGTTGTGCTGGGCATCCCAGTTATCCTGTTAGAAGTCACAGGAGCTAGGAAAGCCTGTATTTGTGGAGCTGAGCACTGGATATTCCTAAATACACATGGTCTTTCAGTTTAGTGTAACATAAAGGGCAAACCACTAAAGGTATATGGGCCTTAGGAAATGTTTTCACACCCTGTCACAAAAATTATCAGTGTACAAAATTTTTTGTCAAGCTATGACGTAATGGTTGTGTGAACACTTACAGAGCTGATGGCTGCAGCAAGTTCATTATTTCCACCTGAAGCAACACAAAATAAGGCTATCTGCTGCTGGAATCCCAGCACAGAGGCACAGAAACATATTTATCCATTAGAGAAGACTGTGCCAGCAGACTGAACCCTGAAATAATTACAATAACCATCAGAGATGCCAGCAAATATCAGTGTGCAGGTCACACTGCCAGCCTGCTAGAAACACCAGGCTGCAATCTGAAAATGTAATACATTTTCCTGATGAACCAATGGCTGAAATTGGAGGGCATTTGCTGTAATACATGGAAAAGACACTGGCTTCCTGAGGGTTAGTCAGAATTAATGTGCCATGGATCATGTTGTCAGCAACGTGTGTTTCTTAGCACCAGGAATGGATAAGCTGTGTACCAGGGAAGGGATGCTTCAAGTCACCCTTATGGGGATCTGCTGGGGGCCACAGCACCTGAAAGGAAAACAGCCTCCTGCCACTCCATCCTATCAGTTCAGGAATTGGGGCAAAATGAAGGGATACTAATGCTTTGAAGGCCTGGACAGGACAGGGAGCAGAGCACCCATGATAAAGCCTGACTATTCTGTCCCAGTCAGGAATCACAGTAGGACAGCGAGTGCATTACTATAAAAACAACAGAGGTTTAGAATAAGTATCCCAGTCAAGGAATTATTACATAACAAAAGGGGGAAAGAAGAAAAGAATCCCCAGAAACAGAACAAGAGGTACATTGTTACAAACACCACAAAGTTTGAAAGAGGCTCTGAAAAAGAAGAGGTTTTACTTATTTTTATAAAAAGAGGACAGGGAGCACTCCTTAGTCATTGCTCCAACCACACACTATTTCCAGTCATCCATAAGCTCTGGGGCTCACTGAATCCTTCATTCAACCAAGCCAAGCCTCTACACAGAGCAAGAGGAAGGTCAGCACAGAGGTAAGCAGCTCCTGCCCATGTTAGGGAGCTGGATTAGCTCTCTGAAAGGCCTGCCAAACACCAGTGCTGACCAAGGCTTTTTGAGCTGAATGATCTCACCTCCAGCACAAAAGCCAAACCACAAGCTCACACTTAGTAGAGTTGACAAAGTTATTAATTTTGCAGGGCAAGGGGAGATAAAAAACCCACTGGGAACACCAACCCTGTTCTGTGAAGTGTGACAGAAGTCACACTTTCTATTCAAGGTCTCATTCCTGGGTACTTCAATGGCATCAGGTAGAAAGTTCCCCAGCAATTGCCTTCTGTAAGCTCTGAGCCACAGTCTGCATGCTTCAGAAAATCAAGAGGCAGCTAAGGAGTTTGCAATTATGTCTTTAGATTAGGCTTGTATTTATCACAACATTTTGGGCTGCTGAGCCCTTGTGAAGATTTCCCTATGTGGCTAGCCACCAGATTCTTCTGTTCTTTCCAGGCCTGAGCAGAAAGCTAAACATTTCTGTACTACAATCAAAGACAGCGATTCTGGGATAGCTCATGTGATCACAAGCATCTGAGACAGAAATACCATATGTTGCCAGAAAAATTCAAACACAAAAGCTGCTGTATGGAGAGCACTGAATGTCCATGGCTGCTACAGGCACTGCCCTGCACAAAACTGCTCCTGTGGCTGCACTGCCAGCACACCAACTAATTGGCACTAAGCCCCACACTGAAAACTGTCACAAGCAACAGGAACATGCAGTTCTTTGGACAAGAGCTCCTGTGGAATTTGCCTGGAGCTCTCCATAAAGGTGTAGCTTCTGGCTATACCAGATGCTCAAGATGCTCAAGGCCCTGTGTTGCTGCTGGAGAGCCTCCTTTTTGGTGTGCCGTGGCTTTACTCTTTCAGGACCTGCTACAAGGAATATATAGACACTGGGGCAGAAGACCTAATGTTAACCCCACACATGCTGAGAGGAGCTCCATGCTTAAATAAGAAGGCTGAATTAGAATGTCTGAATGAGCTCCCTGTGAGTGGGTCAGGAGACAGACACTGCCATGCCATGGGTACATCTGGAGCCCCAGCCTCAGGGCTCAGGGCTGCAGCCTGGCTAGGAAAACAACTACCTACTTCTAGCAGGCTTGTGCCCACACACCACACACACCAAAGGCAGATAAAGAACATCTGCCAAGGGGACAGTGAGGGAAGTGAGTGCCTTGGCTGGAGAAGCAGTCCCTTTCAGCAGTGCTGTGTGTGTGTTCAGCTCCCTCAGGACCACTTACACAAGCATTTTTCCTTTTAGCCTAGCAGTGACAGATGTTTTCACAGGGAGTGGTGGCCAGCCTTGTCTGGCTGCCTTCCCACTGCTGCTGTTCTTTTACCTTCATCTCCACCAAGAACCAAAGGTGCTGCCAAATACCTTGTGACCAGGATCAGCCTGTGTGTCACTGGCTGCTCTGTCCCACACTTCTCTAGGCATCTGGAGCATTCCAAAGCTCAGGCTCTCTGTTCCCATTGCAGCAGCATTCTGGCTGGGCTTTGCCATGGTTTCCTAAACAGCTTTGCTCGAGCTGCATGACCTTGCCCTGCTCTAAGCCCAGGGAAGCTGTACCTGCAGTGAATTGCATAAGGCAGGAGGAGGTCAGCCAGGGGTTGGCAGAGGGTGCCCAGAGCTTGCCAGGGGTTCCCAGAGGTTACCTGGGATGCTCAGCACCTCCTGTAAGATCCTCCCAGGAGTGCCAGGGAGTGTCCCTACAGGACACCCCTACAGGACACCCCTACAGGATACCCCTACAGGACACCCCTACAGGACACCCCTACAGGATTGCCCTGTGCTTAGCCCAGGGCAGGTACAGAAGGGCCATGGCAGAAACAGAGAAATGGTTGGTGCTTCTTGAATTTGTGTCCTTGCAGGGGGCCTTACTGCCCTGTCCTTCCAAAGCTCAGTCTGCACCCCAGAGGAAAGCTGAGACTACTGCTGAAGTCACTTCAGACTGACTGGAAAGAGCTTGAAGTGCAGGCAGCAGGTTTTCTCACTCTGGGGCAGGTCCACTGAGCAAGGAAGAGTTCCTGGAAAGATCTGGGAACCGAGGAGTTCATAGCACAAGGGGTGCCAAGACTCCATTGTCTACTAAACAGAGCAACAGTATAAACATTCACCAGTAGTGAAACACAGATGCCAAACACTTTACTCACAGAAATTCACTTTTCTGCAACCACGCCCACTGGCTGGATAAAATAAAGGTGGCCTCTTTCTGAACTTTGTTCCACAGCTATACTTTCATTATCCATAATAACAAAACATGTAATTATATTTTCAAAAACAAGCAAAGGGAAAAAGGGAACTAAACCAAAACCGAAAAACAAAATATAAAACAAATAAAACAAAAAACAAACAAACAAAAAACTCCACAAAAACAAAAACAAACAAAAACAAACCCCAAAAAAAACCCCAAAAAACCCAACCAAAACCAAAACCAAACTAAAGGAAATAAAGCCACAACCAAACAGAAAAGAGGGAAACTTTGAATTTGCAGGATCCTTCAGAAAACATTGGAGTTCTTCCATGGCCAATGCAAACCAGAGCAGGAGAATTTAAGCATATCTTCAAGTTCCTTACCATCACCCAAAAAATTAGGTTTGTACAGCTCTCACATGCTTTCTTGTGAGGCCATTTACAGCTTTGCCTCATTAGGAATGGCCTCATGTCAGGGTAGGACAACTTCAGAATGGGGAGGAGGAAGAACAACAAATCCATACAGAGGCACAAACATATTTAGATGTTGTAAGACAATGTATGGGGGAGGGTATTTATCTTCAGCTTACAGGCCAATTGAAATAAGTGTGATGGCTCAGGTAAAGAGAGAAATGCAATGAAAGGGACAGGGTTTTTTTTCCACAAGTATTGTGGTATAAAACAAAGCTCAAAGAAGCAGTGCAATATGCTCTTGCAGACCAGATGCTGCACTTATTGAACCTCAGGCTCCAGCATCTACTTCCTCCATGCAAAATATGCAGCAAATTCTACTGCAGCAAGGTTAGAGCCAGGAATGATAATAGAATACAGCACAATGTTGTGTCATACACATTTCCAGACAGGTAACAGCCTGTAGACATGCCCACAATTCTGACTAGAGAATTACAAAATCATGCAACAGGTGCATTGTATTTTTAGGCACACTAGTCAATAGAGGGGTGTTGGTCAGCAGCAGGTTTCAGAAGACAGGTCAGGAACCTGTCAGGTTCCAGAAACCCTGTCTCACCCAGGCACACAGCACTCTGCTGCCCCACTGGATAATGTGGAATGTGTTGCTGTGGGCAGACATTCCTGCCCAGTAGGTAGAGGAAATGGATGAAGAAGAGGGCAGAAAATGTGTCAGTTCAGGCTATAACTCAAAAATTCCTCAAAAATAAGCTCCACCTTTCAAAAATTTCCACCATAATTTAATGATTATGTTAAGAACTGGAGAAGAATCAAGTTCCTCATCCAACAAGTGGAAATTTATTGGATCTTTATAAAATGTCTTTTTTCAGAGGTCCCTTTCTCTTAGCTGAGGCATGGGATTTATGTTGTCTCACAGTTTAGGGGGTTTTGGGGTGTAGCTTGTTTGTTTTGTAGTAAATTCTGGTATGTGCTCACAAAAGAAAAGTGCTTTAGAATTGGCCTCAGGGACCTGATGCCAGCAGCAGAGCAGGAAGCAAAGGAAGTTTCAGGCAGGAAGGTACATCACAGAGAAGGCACAGAGAAGGAAGCTCTGTCCCTTTACCCAACAGTGACAGCTGTGAGCCCACAGATGAAGCCACAGCCCCAGATTAGAGGTGCTCCAAGGCATGGCTCCTGCCTGGTAAAGGACATAAGACAGCAAACTCCATTCTCCAGCCTCTCAACAACCAGTAGGCATGAACCAGTGATGATGCTTTTTGTTGCATACGCTAGAATTAAACATTTTACTCACCAAAACACTAAGCCAGCACTCCTCTATCTCTATTTGGTATCTAGCAAAAACTCTGAAAAATTTATGGATTTCTTAGAAGAAAATGACTCAGCAACAGATAATGCTTCTCCAGCCTAATGCCTTGTGAGAAGGAAGTCAGAAAATTGCTGCAGAGTGACCTAAGAACTTTAAACTATTAAGATACACGTCCAGACCAAATTTTTCCACTCTGTCAGGTTTGGCTGCAGCTGACTAATGTACTTTAAGTAATCCAAAGACCAGCAACCATTCAAAGAATTCTGAAATTCTCTAGATACCCATCTTATTTGAACTTGCTTCATGTCTTCCCTCCTTCTCCCCTTTTGGCAGTAACTTGAGACTTTATTTGAAGTACATTTAGAAATAAGAGTTATTTGTATCTGCATGACAGCCCCTCCTTAATCATTCTGATAAGATATGCTCCCTCTAATTTCCAGCAGAAGTGTTTCCCATGTTGCACAGGGGTAAAAGAATTGTTCAAAGCCTGTTTGCATTGCTTAGATTTTCCATGTTATAAGCTTGAAAAACCTTCAGCAATCATGAACTGAAATGACATCCATCTCATGCAAAAGCACACCCACATAGGATGAACTGCAAGGTTACACCCAGACTGTCAAAGCTCAGTTTGTCTACGTCATTATTTAATTACTACAGTGTTACTAATTAATTACTTATTACTAATACCCAAATAAATTCTTTTTCTGTTGTGTCTAAAGATGGGCACGATATGAAAATTCTCTGTACGGGAACAATTTCAAATTCTTCATGTGATAAAAGTACAAAAATGAAGCAGAATGGACTCAATCCACTTCTGGTGTAAACTGAGAATCTTGCTGACCACTGTAGTCAGATTGATTTGCATGAAAAATTGGTTATTTACAAGCTTTGAAAAAGAGACACGTGTACATACCACACAGGAAGCTTCATATTGTTTCCCCAGTTTAGGTCTTAAAAATGCACTGAAAGAAAGGAGAAGAATCATTAAAGACCCAGTACATCAATGTGTATTTTTCTTAGTTATTTTTAGGATTCTTCTCATGTCAGAAAGTTGTCAAAAGGCTGAGCAACTCAGTGTAAAGGAAGACATAAGCCAAAACTATGCTCAGATACCTGTTGATGACGTCTGATAAATGCTGTTATCTTTTCCAGAAGAAAAAGTGCCCACCCTGATATGTCAAGAGGTATTTAATTCAGTCCACAAGTTCCCAGGGATAAAATCTTCCATCAGACAATTTTCAGCCATTTTACCTCAGTGAAAGTATTTTCAACATATTCTGTTTAAAATTTGTAAAATATTACTAAACTTTGCCTTGCCTCTATCCTAAGACAGAAATCAGATTGCCAGCTCTGTATTAAATATTTTTTTCTGCACTGCTTCTGATGTGGAAGGCTTGTGGTGAAGTGCAGGCCTGTGTGCTGTATGTAGAGAACATCCACCCTCTATCATTCTCCTCCAGAAGGAGATCAGAGTAAATATTAAAAAAAAATAATCAGGTCACCTTATTGCAGGGTGGGTTTTTTTTTTTCCTATTTTATTTTGAAGGACACTGACAGTGGCATAAGGAGATTTTGTGACTGAGGCCTTAAATTAGAGCTTCAACCTTCAAATCTTCCAACCTCCCCCACTGCCCCCACAATGTTTTCAATTTAGAATCCTGCCAGGACAGGAGGCTGTCGGGATTCACAAGGAACATAAAGCGCCAGCCATACATTCAGCTGGTCCCTCGCACATCTCCAACCCCTCACTCTCCACTGCTGTGAAATAAGGTGAGGCTTTGACGTATCTGTTTGCCTGCCGGCCTCCCAAAGCATCGATTACACTTCCAGGAGGGCTGCAAACACAGACAGAAGCAAAGCTGCAGGTCTGGTGCAGCACTGATGATGCTGCTCCTGGTACCAGAGCTCCGTGAGTTCTCTTAAAGGATGGGGGTTGGGGCAGGGGGGGATGGACGGGATGGGAAACACGGGACAGGGAGCAAGGGAAAGGCACACGGAGAAACAGAGACATGGATGGTTTAAAGTCAAACCAAGAAGCTGCCTGGGACTGCCACTAGGTTAAGCTGCCTTGAGACCTCCTCCCTCACCCGATGCACACAAATTGCTCGATGCTGAGTACAAAACCCGGTGTTTTTTTTCATGCCTTCACGTTGCAGCTGCAGTGATAACTGCGTCCTCCCTGGCACCGGGCAGCAGCAGCTGGCCCGCACCCCCCTCCATCCTTCCACTGCCCTGTTGCAGCCGTATCCCAGGTACCCCGCTCTTACCTGGTTTGCCTCCATAGGAAGGTCTGGATGGGCAGAGGGATGCCACGGCCACTCTCCTGCTCCTGGCCCTCTGAGCTTTTCCTTTTCACCATGATGCCGCTGGCAGCTGCTGCAGCCTCAGCAGACGCCCCGCTCGGGATCTCCCATGGCCGCCTCTGGCTCTCCGCAACTCTTTACCCCCTCCCCTCCATTCCCCGCCGCCCGCCCCCTCTCTCAACTCCGCTGGTGCAAAATGGCTGCAGAAGGCAGGGAGGAAATTAGGGGGGAGCGAAGATGTCCGCGTCCTTCAGCTTCCTCCGTGCCTTCAGCACCTCCCTCGGCGGACAGCTCCCGCTGCCCGGCGCGGGGGCGGCGGCGGCACCGCCCGCCAAACTTCCCGCACCTCCACAGCGGCGACAACAACAGCCACAACAGCGACAACAACAGCCACAACAACAGCGACAGCGAGCCCCGCAGCAACAGGGCTGCGGCCGCCCCTCCCCGCGGCCACCAGCGCAAAGTTGGGAAGCCTCGGCGGTCCGCAGAGAGCAGAGCATCATCCCAGAGCATCATCCCAGAGCATCATCCCCGAGCATCATCCCCGAGCATCATCCCAGAGCATCATCCCAGAGCCCGCCGGAGAGCGGCTGCATCCCTCCACCCTCGTCCCTCCCTGCCTCCTTCCCACACGGGGAGAGAAGGGAAGCAAGGCAGAAAGCCTCTCTGAAAGTGAAGGTTGGTGTTGAGAGCAGAGGAACTTTGGGGGAGTTGTTCACGGATTTTTCTTAGGCAGAAAAGCCGAGGCAGAGGTGGAGAGGATGGGGAGCACCAAAGCAGATTTACTGGTGTTTCCAATTAGGCACCAGACTAATTCGATTAATACAAGCTTATGTTTGAGTCAGGTTTGCTGGAAATACTTCTCAGGCACTGTTAGATTAGCTCTCCTTCTCTACCTAAGGGTATCAGAGGACAGTATACTACAACAAATAATTAATAGAATAAAATGAAAGACCTATGCAAGTTCATCCCAAAGAGTTTCCACAGGAAAAAAAAATAAATAAAAGTGACATTCCATTGCTTATATGAAAATATTGAAAATTTAGAGATGCTCCAACGAACCAGGGCCATAATTCTTCCTGTCTTTCAATCTCCCTACTAAATGTTAGGCACCTAAAGATTCACCAAGGTCATTCCTTCCGGTAGAGGAGCAGAACACATGAACATGAACACTATTTACTTCCTTAGGGGTACTTTAAGGAGAGGTTTGCTGAAAAATCCAGTGCTGCTACTTAGGTAATTTGAATTTACTCCCACTTGAGATAATGTGTTTTTCTGGTCTGTCTTGCATGGAGTTTCTGGTGCCCAAGACAATACTTGATTTCCAGTCTTGATCTCCTGTCATGGAGAACAGGACCTCATGTGATCCACATTTTGCTAAAATCTCCCTCTTAAACAAAAGAAATATTAAGACAAGTAATTAGAAAGTAATCTTTTAAATTAAAAAAAAAAAAAAAAAAGGTTTGCAACCAAAATGGTGTTCTAAATTTTAAAACTTTTTTAAATCAAAATCACTAATCTACCTGAGTACAGAAATGTTGAACCAGTTGGCTTTGTTCATATTGTCTGGCTGGGTTCTTTGACAGCAGCATCTTGACAGAAGTATGGCCTTTTATTAATAGAACTACCTTGCTCAGGCAGGAAAGCTTTTAATTACCATGTTCTTTCCTTCCATTATGTGTAATTGGACATGGACAAAATTATCTTGATTTCTTAAATCTTGTAAGAATACAGAGAGAAGGTAGTTAAAACTGTTGACTTCTAAATGCAAGGTCCACATCCCTTCAATTAATCCAGGACTTTTGTCTTCTTGTTTGGACAGTTCAGAAAGCAAATTTCAGCATTAATTTCTTCTAGAATGCCTCTTAATAGTCAGTACTAAAGCACTATGCAGTAGGAATAATGAACTTATTTTTTAATAATTGGGTTTTTTTCAGGTCCTGTCATGTGCTATGAAATTATTGACTAAAGCTGATACTCAGCAACAAATCTGAAGTCCAATTTTTTTGAGTTTTAGTTATTGTCAAGCAGGCAAATCACATTCTTCCAAGCAAAGTATGAGGACCGAAAAGTTTTAATGCTATTTGTAATTAAGGAGAATAAGTGAGCTGAGCTGTTGAGGCCTGAAAAAGTGCAAGGTCAGTGTCTTCCTGATGGGTGTTGACAACAGCACTAACTAGGACTCAGCTTTCCCACAGGTAGAAGGTTAGCAGGCCAGGGGTGGTTTATCTGAATGTTGTTTTAAGTGTTGTGTAGTCTCACTCTTAAAATTAGTGCCATTTTAGTCAGTGATAATATTTACCTACCTTGAGTTTAAGACAATTGCATTCTCTTAGTAACTGGTAGGCACAGTTCAGATGTGTTTGGTTTGTGTTTTGTTTGATTTTAAAAGGGTATCTCTCTTTTTTCCTGCTTTCAAGAAGCAGCCACAATAGTTTCCAGTTCATCTCTCTAGGACTAAGCTTATTATTCTTATTGTTCCCATGCTTTGCTATGCAACAGGAAACCCAAGACCAAAAGAGAGCACTGCAGCTTGCTCCAGACTACAGCCAAAATTTCCTAATGATTCTTCTGGTTGACAGAGACACTAAAGGGCACTTGATGTGGTCAGCTTCCTAATAAAAAGAAAGGGATGAAAGTGTGAACACAAAACTCCACCACAAAAAACCCCCCAACCAAACCAAACAAATGTTATTGGAAAACAATGGCATTCATCAGTTTCAAACCTACACAGGTAAACATCATTGCTGCCCTGAGTAGAGGCTGTCCTAGAGAGCAGAGAAGATCACTAGCAGGACTTCATGAGCCTCCAAAGGGGAATCCAGATGGCCTCTTTACAGTCTGAAGAAGAGCAGGAGTGGAGCACACATGGGGCAACTGCACATTACTGTCAGTGTTCACTATCGCTCAGAAAGCAGGAGGACAACACACCAGTACCTCACCTGGCTTTCTGTTACATCCTTGAAGACTCTTTAGAGGAAACTAATAGCTTTGAAGTTCAGGATTATTTTCCTTGCTCTTTCTTTGTGCATAGCCAGTGCCTTGCCCTGTCACAAGCCATTAGCAAGTGGAGGTCACACAGCCCAGCACTGAGAGGAAACTGAATCACTACTTGGAATTTTGTTCATGATTACTTTGTAGTAACTGAAAATATAACTGCAGATTGCAGTTCTAGTCAAGCTTGCCATTTGAGTGCAGCATACTGCTCTCCAATTGCAGCCAGTCACAAAAGACACATAAATCCCTTTGTTTGTACAAAGGTTTGAAGTCACAGAACTTCTGATGCAAAACAAATCAGAGAGTGAAGAAAACATTATCAACAGCTGGCTCTGTCACAAGAACTGCAGGCATGAATATGTAGATCTCAAATCCAGCCAGGCCATGACCAGCACTAAACCCAGGAGGTGGCAAAGGTGGTTTACATTTTTTGACAGTGGTTAGAGACAAGTTTTGTTCTTGCTTTGCTTTGGAGACCATGCCCACCACCACAAATGGCACATAAAGCTGAAGCAATCTGTGTCTCTGTAGGTAAAATGAATTGCATGTGTAAGAGAAGAAGAAATTTTACAGCCTGGAAGATTTTATTTATCTCTATATTGAGTTTCTGCTGGCAGCAGTGGCTTTCAGATTTGCAGTCAGCATTTGACCACACCTAAATAAATAATAATAATAATAGGTGCTACAAAGGGAAAGTCCTGCAAATGAAATGCCTTCCTCAAAAAGAGGAAACAAGTAGACTCTTCAGAGAGGCCATTACAATAGGACAACAGCAAAGTGTCCTGAAAATTCACCTGTGCTCTGTTCTCTAGGCTACACTGGCATCCTGGGCTGACACAGAAGCACGGGTTGGTCTGCCTGCAAAAAGATCAAGAGCACTGCAAAAAGTCACTGCTGTCAGAAAGCAGGTGAGGGAAGAGTGGAGAAAGCTCTGCACTACTCCAACAATTCCTAGCCCGTGCAACTGCTTAGTCACAGAAGATGCCCGTGACACTATCTTCCCATTTCCTACCTTACAGAGGTGAGAGGAGGAGTCTGACATGCCTCCAGATCATGATTCTGCTTGATCACTGCTTTATTCAGCAGACAGTTATGTTTACAATCCATCACAGCAGGATTTAGTTTTGATCCAGAAACAATCAAGGCTGGCAGCATAGCACAGAGTGGGGACACGGAGCAGAACCTGAGCATGAAGCCCCCACTTTATACAGGAGTGCTCAGAGCAGGGAACTGCTCAAACCTCACTGCCTTGCACTTGTTTCCATGGTTATGTTCTCCAAGTTCCCACCCTCAATCAATCCCTGCCATACACACTCACAAATAAGAATTCACATCTTATTTCTCTGAACAATCTGTGCAGATTCCAGGCTCTCAAGAGTATGTCAAGCCATTCAGTTGTGCAGCAGCCTTTCCAGGAGCAAAGCTGCAAACAGCTTCTAAATGTCACTTCCAGAGCAAGGAAAAAAATACTTGCCACATCTTCATGATCTTACTCTTCCACTGGCTGCTGAGCAGACCCATCAAGAAGGAAAACCCTTCCTCTTCTTGGGACAAACAGTCATAGAAGATTAGCACTGATGGATGTCACTCATTCTACCCTTTCCCATATGGGTCTGTCAGGTAGAAAGAAAGTAAAAATGTAGAGAAGCCTAGGAAAGCCCTGTTTTTTCTTTAAGGGCTTTTAAACAGCATGAAAACATTTCAACTAAGGCTCTTTAAGAAGTCTCCTTCACACTTAGCTCTTCTAGCTAGCCCTGCTCAAACATAACAAAACTGTGTTCAGAAACAAGGGTAAATAATCCCTAAAACTGCAAGGATCCCCTAAAATTACAAGTTTTGCTGCTGTTGCTGCATGAATTTGGGCAGGAGTGGACTGCAGTTCAGTTGGATGAGATTCCACAAGAGCAGTGAGATATTTAATCCCTTGGCCACAATTAGGTGGAACCAGTGGAGTGGCACAGGACTCATGCATCTGAGAACTCTATTTCAAAATGGAGCAGAAACACAAGCCCTCCACACCTTGTGTAGTAAATTATTGCCTTTGCATAATGTTCAAGCA